AAATTAAAAACAAAGGGGTGCCTTTTTAAAAAAATTTTTTTCCCTTATCTCTTCGTACTTTTCACAAAAGGTCCCAAATAAATAAGGGCTTTGGTCACATTCGTTTTCGAAGGGCTTTTCAATTTGGGGGGGCCTCAGGGATGGTGCTAGGTCCCCTACTTGGAATAATCGGCTTCGACAAATTTTTTTGCGATACCAAAAAACCACCGGGGGTGTACTTTAACGCGTATGCTGAGACGGCTTATTATGGTGGAATCCCGGTACTAGGGCGGGGTTGGGGAGAAATTTCCAATATAAATTTTTTAACTTTACCAAAAGAATTTCTTTTTCCCCAAAAAAATTGGGGGGTTTTTTTAAAAGGTAAAAATCCCGGGGCCCAAACCCCCTTTTTTCCCCGGAAAAAAAAAAAACCCCTTTTTTCCCCCGGGTTTAATTTTTTAAAAAAAACCCTTTTAAAAAACCGGAACATAAATTTCAGGGCCAAAAAAAGGTTTTTGTTGACCCCAAGGTTTTTGGCCCGGGCCTTTTGGTTTTAAAAAAAAAAAAGGGGAAATTTAAAAAAACCCCCCCCCCACCCAAAATTGGGGGTTGGGGACCCCAGGGGTTAAAAATTTTTAAAGGAAACTTTTTTTTTTCCAACCCTATTTTTTGAAAAGGTTAAAAAGAGGTTTCCGGGGGTTGGGCAAGGGGTATCAATGCGGGCGTGGGTTATTTAAGAAAAAAATGAAGGGGTTTTACGGGGTCCTTTAAAATTTAAAAATTCCCCAAAGGCATGTTTTCCCTTTAAAGGGGGCCCTAGGGGGGAACCCAGGCCGCCCCGCAAATTTCCCAAGGGGCCCCACTTTACCATTTTTTTTGTTGCAAGGGGTTGCGGGACATGGGGTTTTGGGTTTGGCATGTCCTTTCCGGCAATTTTTTCGGGTCAGAGACCCCTTGGAGCCAATTGTATTTTAAAAACTTAATGGTTTCTTTCCCCCAACCCTAAAATTAAAAAATTGCCCAACAAAACCTCCGGGGTTTTTTTTTTGCCTATAAGACGAATCAAGCAAAGCCTTTGGGTAACATCCGGGGCCGGATCCCTTTTCATTTTATTGTTCCAACTTGGGGAAATTTTGGGTGGATTGGGGGTTTTGCCTCAATTTTCTTAACTGGGCAGGTAATTTTGGGCCGTTTGTTCCCTTTTTTAAAAGGGGGAGCCCATTTGTTTTTTAATTTTTCTCCCCTCTTCTCAAAATTTTGAACAAATTCCCCCAAAATTTTTTCTGGGAAAATTTCTTGGGGGTTAAGAAAAGTTTTTTTTATTTTTTTATAATTTCTGTGTTGTGGGTCATCCCGGGGCCGGGGATACAGGGGGATCTTTTGGGGGGATTTTTGTTAATTTCCTCCGATTACGATTCCCCGGGCCAATTTTTTTTCTTTTTAGAAACCCCCCATTAAATTTGTGGACCCCTCTTTTTGGCCGGGTGTTCCCTGGGGTTTTAAAAAGGGGGATTATTTTCTTTTTTTTGTTTTCTTGGTTTTTCTAAGGAAGGAAGGGATTTCTGTTTTTTCCAATTTCCCCATTTTTCCCTTTTGTTAATTGTTGGGTTTCCCCAAAGCTATTTTCCGGCTTCCCGGGTTCAAAACCTCCGGGGTTTTTTTCGTGGGCCTGCTGGTTTGGGGGGGGGCCCGGGGTAAGGTTTCGGGGGGGGGGTTTGGGGGGGGGAATTAAGGGGCCCAAAACCCACCTCCCACCGGGGTCTCGGGGGTTGGCCCTGGAAGGGTTTTTATCTTTCCGGGGGGCCCCGGCCGGCGGGGGGGGATCTTTCCCCCAGCTGGGGGTGCGGTTTTTGGGGGTTTCCTGGGGGAAAACTTTCTCCTTTTGGGTTTTCCCGGGGGGAAAAACCTTTTTTGGGGAAACCGTGGGTACCCCTTTTGGCGGGCCACATTGGGGGAATGCCAAAAATGGGGGGCCTTCCAAAAGGGGCGGGTCCCCAGGGTTAACCCAAAAATTCTGAAAGGTTTGGGTTATCGGTCAATCCGACAAAGTGTCAGGCAATAATAATTGGCAGTCAGCGTTCGATGAACAGAGTCAATTTTGAGGCGCTCCCCAAAATAATTTTTAATGGTATCACTATACCTGTTTGTCGATCGGTGAAAGACCTAGGCTTACAACTCGACTGCACCCTGAACTGGCGCGATCAAGTCACATACGTATGCCAGAGGGTTACCGGCATTCTTAGAACATTATATCGCCTGAAAAATTTTCTTCCCGTGAAAACTAAGACAGCGCTCGTGCAATCTCTTATCTTCCCTTTAATCGACTACGGTGACGTGTGCTATTATGACCTGAATGCAGATCTTCTCAACAATAACTGCATTCGATTCATCTTTAATCTTCGTAAGTATGACCATATCTCCGGTTTTCATTCCCAACTAAGATGGTTACCTATTCGTCAACGCAGGAAAATGCGCGCTCTCACAACTATGTACACTATCCTCAATTCCCCTTCCCCTCCTACTTATTTAACAACACAATTTCAATTGTTATGCAACAACCACAACAGAAACCTTCCTTCGGCCAACAATCTTCTTCTACTCTGTCCTTCTCACACCACTGCGTTTGTCGGCTCTTCGTTCTTCGTCCAGGCTGTCCTCTTATGGAATGCGCTTCCTCACGAAGTCAGGATGGCTACAAATCGGTACTCTTTTAAGACGAAAGTGAAAGAGCTATTGCTGAGTGAAATGGCAGATTCAACGGGCTCCTAGTTCATCGGCTAAATTTTTAATTATTTTTTTTATTTTTCTCAGATATATATGTGTATGTGTATGTTTATATATTTATGAGTATATATATGTGTATGTGTGTGGTATTACGACGTATACACCAAATTCCAAAATAGTTGGTATTTAACAAAACCACTATCGTTTATACCCTATCATAAATGCACCTACCTCATTCTTTCTCAGCACCACCCTATCGGTCGACTGGCAGAGAATGCCTTAGGCATTAAGTCCGCCGATGCATGTGCTTGTGCAAAAAGTTAAAAATAAATAAATAGTGATATTAATAATTTCTTTTTTTGCTTAACGGTTTATATTTCGGATGTGTTATATTTATTTTTGGTAATGTAATAACGAGTAGAATCGTTTAAAAAAATTAAAAAAATACATGCATATTCCCTATTACTATCGTCTATCATTTTGATTTCAGAAACCTTGATGGTATCAGGACCTGGCCTTTCTTGAATTAAGTTGTTTAATGATTTTATGAACACTGCTAGATGAGGCTTTTTAAATAAAATACTTGTATCAAGGGATTTATGTTTAGTATTAGAATCTGATATTTTTATATTACAATTAGGAAATTTTAGCGCACTACCAAAACTAATTGCAAATTTGTCGGCAATGTTTTTGGTAGAAATGCCTTGTGCATCAAATGCCCTAAGTATGGCTGTATCAACTACAAGCGTCACTCTGCCTAACATTTGTTTAACAATTTTATATACATTTTTATGTTTTGAATTTATTAATCATTGATTTTATTCTATTTATATTGTATTGATTTTATTTCTAATTTGAGTTTTGGGTCATTTAAATATATTTTTTTTAATCAGAGAATAATTTATCTCTTTTATCACAAAGCTGGGTAATATTGTCATCAATCTATGGCAAACTAAGGTGTTTTAAGTGCTTGCTACGCAATTGGAGTGTCTTTTTTTTTAAAAGACAACGCCTGCACTAAGCCTATAATCTTGTATCGCAGGGGACTTTACAAAAATACATGAAACGGACACAAAGAACACCCAGACGTGGACACAAAGACACACAAAGTGTCCCATGTGGGGATCGGACCCACAACACTTAGCGCAGTACGAAGCGGCGAGGTGACCGCTTAAATCGCTACGCTATCCGTCAGTAATCCGTTATTATTAATTGCAGACCTATTTGCATTATCAAAAGAGTTATAAATAAAACTTAATATGTCTTTAGGAAAGTTTATATTCTTGGTCTTTAGCTATTCAACACTTTAAAGTTTACAAAAAGTATTGTAGTCAAAAGTCTTTTTAGTAGCATTCTGTACACCCTTTGGCATTTCATACGATTCCTCAACGCAGGCAAATATAATGCCCCGAGGATCAACCAGTAGGTACGCCATCAAGGGCCGCGGCGAACATGTGTAATGTGGGGAAACGTACGAACATGTGATCTATACATGATTTGGAAATCAAATTATATTATTCCTTACAAAATTCAGCCTCGTTCCCAATAAGACAATAAGTGTAAGGCATGCAAATAGAAGTGAATATTACTCAATAAGAATTACTAGAATTTAAGGAACATCACTCATATTATCAGAACTAATACTGTCAATATAGAAAGGCTGCAGCCCAGGTCTGGCTCAGGTCATAACTTCTGCCTTTCTATATAAATGGTTTAGACTCAAATTTATTTGTTAGGTTCTAAGTGTCCCAATCTATCATTTAACCTTAATTTAATCGAAACTTTCTAGACCGTTCTCTATGTCCATCCAGTATGAGTGGTTTCAATTTGTGTTTTGCTTGACGTCAACACATGACATGAAAAGTATAATAATTTTATTCTTCTAATCGATTATCAAACAATATTTTGAATGTAGTAGTCTATAGTTGAGGAAAAAGAAAACAAAAATTATATTCCTAAATGTAGAAACAAGTTCAATACCTGGCAGCACTGTAGAACATTGAACTTAAAGGAAACCCATCTATGTTTTCGACTGAAAGACTTGTATCTATGGTCATGAATAAAAATAATAATAAAAAAATTGAACTTGACAATGGAGTGGAGGAACCATAGGAGGAGCACATGTTTTTAACTGTCAAAATTGACAGCTTGGTGGCGGGTGCGGGAAAATTCGGCCGGTATGTTATGCTTTGTTCGCCGAAATTCAAAAAGAGCAGCCACTATTTAACAGTGAAACTTGAGGTCAAACGTTAATATTTTACAAATTCGTTAAATTATAGACTTATTTTCAAATTGCAATGCCTACTACTAGGAAAAAAATAATCAAGACAGTGTACAAAGATGAAAACAGCGATGAAGAAGAAGGCGGAGATTTTAGTGATTCTGGTTCAGAGGCGATAATATCTGATGTATCCAGCTCTGAAGATGACATTATCTCGGAAAGTTCGTCTCCTGAAGAGGAGTTTGATAATGAAGAATCGTTTAATAAATCAAAACGGAAATATCCAGAAAAAAAGTCGAAGCTGGCTAGAATTTTCTCTAAAAAAACAAACAAACAGATGTCTGGGTGTGATGTGTCGGAAAATCACCCAGTTTTCTCAATTAAAGATCTTACCGAAGCAGACAAGTTATTGCCGCCTATCCTGAATTTGTCTGAAAGTGGTAAGTTTGGGTAATTCTCTATATTGCGTCAGTAAAATAATTGTTGCGCAATACTAACATTATTCATAAACAAGTCGAAACATGTTAGCTCATTATTATTTTGGAACCAATGTACATAAATATATTGCTTTTTGTACAAAATTTTGAAGTGAGGTAGATTATAGTGGACAACACTGCAATGGTGTTGGTGTCTTTATACTTTTTTCATTTATGATTTGTGTAATTTATACTTATTTATCAAACTTTCTGGTATACCCATTACTCTATAGACTATGTACATATTCAAAATACTAATAAAATACATGCATGCATACTAAAACTGAGTTTTTGGTCTATTTTGAGTTACTTTTTAATTTAACTCTGTCAAACTATACATACAGTCATGATCATTAAATTTATTAATGCAACTGGGAAATATGTTTGTATATAGATAGCAGTGATGAAGAATCTCCACAGACATTAAATAGAAGTAGTTTTACATCTTTCCAACAAACAGACCAAGATAATGAGAGTGATAATGAAGTTAATAAAGAATACAGACATGTAAGTATTAGAATACATATTTTATTTATTTCAATTTCAAACTCTTTATATATAAATGTACAACAAGGATTTAAATGCATAACTATTTACTACTATTAAAAGTTACAAAACAAACATTTACTGAAAACATTATTAAAGTAAATAATACAAATATCATCACTATGGAATGTTATATGCTGACAAACTCATCTCAATACGGCTTTTGTAAAAATTAACTTTCCAATAACTGGCGGTAAATCTTCAATCTGTCTTATTATATAGATTACCTGTTACCCTTCTAGTTTTTCAGATTACTCCATTCACAACTTGAGAAAGAAAAAAATATATCAAGGCACATTATATACTTGTTTGAGAATTATTGAATGTTGTTGATTTAAGTTTTCATAACTGTAGTGTCAGGCAGACAGAAACACATTTATATTTTCTTATATTTTCCTTAAGTTTTTGTAAAATATTAAAGTAAAGGTTTTTAAAATTAATAGGGTCACAATCTGTGTTAATTGTAACATAAATTACTTTTATGAAAACAAATTAAAATTATCAATTTTATTCAAAATCAATAAATAATAATTATACATGTTCGATTAAATGAATTCATTAAAAAAGTTTTTTGTCAATGGTGACCAACGACAGATCCTTTCTGTAATTTTACAAATTGCAATTTTAAAATATGACACCTATGTGCATTGTGATTGTAATACAAGTCGGTATAAAATATTAACACCTTAGGAATACTCAATAATAATATTTGTATCTGAAGAGATTAAATATTTCTAGTTATTTAATAAGCCACCCTCCTTAGTTCTTTAGTTTATATTTTTGTTATTTTAAAGATATGGTCAAATAATGATAAAGTACAAGATGATAGTGAAGAAATTGCTAAAAAAACATTTATGGAACTGGAACTACACAAGTCAAAAATTGAGGAGACGAAAGCAACTTTACAGAATTACACATTAAAAGCAATAGAGCATGAATCAGATGTAAGAGATCTGTTAGCTTTAGGTGAAGATGTTTTAAGTACACCTGATGTTAGTACTGTTAATAAAAAGTCAAAGATTAAAAGGCGCAAAGATGACAGTGACTCTGACGTTGAAGACTGGGAAGAGGTTAAAGGTATTTATTACGTGTGCCATGCCACCATCAGTTATCAAGTTAAACATTAGAAAATCACGAAATTTAAAATTATGGTTCAATTTTCAGATACAAAGTCTATACCTCAACAAGGTATACAACTTATTGTCGAATTTCCTGATGCTGGACGTAAGAAACCCAAAAAGATCGACGTTGAAATGATGATGAAGAGGAAAATCAATAGAGTTAAAAAGGAATATCAAATCTACATGCATAAAGTACATGTCCTTTGTTGGGTTGGTCATGGAAACTACGTAAGTAATGTACTAAGTGATAGAGTACTTATGGCAGCTGCACTCTCTTTGATACCCTCAAAAGAACGTCGTCCAAAAAATAAAGTTGATATGAAATATATAGAAGAAGTTATAACATGTTACAAGGATCATGTAACAGTAAAACATGATAAAAATGAAGAAAAATTCAAACCGAAATCACCTCCCCTTAAACAAATATTATTACATCTAATTAAAACAAAAGTTTTGACTTCAAAGAAATATTTAGTTTTTATCTTTGTTATCATACTACGTGCACTTGGCCTACAATGTCGTGTAATGTTTAACTTCGTAACACTGCCTTTAAGACCACCTGCTACTGAATTATGTTCACTTTCAACAAAACCAAAAGATCAGAAAACAAATCAGAAGCAGAATTCAACACTAGAAGAAACGAACTTATCTGAAACAAAAACTAATATGTCACCTGAAAAAGAAAACACTACGAATCCGAAATCCAACATCAGAAAGGCGAAATCCAAAAAGAATATTGCACAAATAGATGGAAATTATGATGTTTTTTCTGATGAAGAAGTAGGAGAACTAAATTGGTATGACTATGAGAAAATAATGCAAGTTGATGGTGGAGACGATGGTCCCACTACTAGAAGAACAAGGTCAAACAAAAGACACATAAGTGACGTTGACAAAATTAAAGATGAAAACGTGTCACCTCCTAAAAAACCAAGAAAAAATCTTAAACGTATTTCCCTACAACAGAAGTTTTCAAGTGATGAAAACAAAAATACGAATGTAAAAAAGAAGGCTAAAAGGGGTAAAAATGTAGTTGATACAGACAAAACAAATGAAAGTATTGATCATCTGAGAAATAATAGTAGCAATTTAAAAGAGCTCACAAATATAACGTCAGCAGAACTTACAGAAGAAAACCTACCGTCTTCGAAGCTATCCCAAAAAAGTACTAGAAGTGCTACTCGGCAAACACTCTCTAGGGATAATGAAAAAAAAGTTACTGATGTACATAAAAAGACCCAAAAAAATCTGAAAACTTTAGACATGAAGGTTAAAAGGAATCCGCTTGCGAATGACTTCGCAGATAATAATTACGAAGTTGTAGAGGAGAACGTATCATCCCTTAAAGTAACTAGAAAAAGTCCAAGGCGAAACGCTCCAATACGTCTTGCCGAGAACGCTAAAAATGATGTTGCGCTAAATAAGAGGAGTCAACGACGTGGCAAATACGTTGATCCAGAAGTAACCCTCAGTACAGGCGATGACTCTCACCACAACAATCTTAAAGAACCAGTTGTACTGGCTTCAGAAATGTCAGAAAAAGATTTTTCACCTCCTAAAATACCCAGAAACAGTTGTTCTTCCTTAAAACCAAATACCAAAAGTAAAGAAGAAAAGAATACAAATAAAGGCTTCCAAAATCGTAAACGAATGATAATTACTGAGGAAAAATATGATTCCTCTGATCATGAGACAGATGACAACTTTAAATCTACCTATAGAAATTTAACTCGCAGTCAGAAATCTAAACTATCAAATGATAACACCAATAAGCAACAAAAAAATGAAACAACAATGGAAGAAAAGGCAACAAGTACTGGTAAGAAAAGTATGAATCAAAAGAAAAGCTTTATAGCAGCTTCTGTCAGCCCTGATAACATAAAAATTCCCCGTGTCATTTTAACAAGGGAAAATTATAAACGTAACACAAGTAAGAATGATGAAAAACCGAACCCTACTGAAATTCCAGGTCGTATGACAAGAAAACGATTGCAAACTGCGAATGTTACTGGTTCCAAAGGCACAGATACTGCAAAAGAAAATTTAAACAAAAGCAAAAGTATAACAAAAAAAAGAGCTGGGGTGACAAAAAATAATATTCGCAGGGAAGATGAAACATCACAAATCAGTTCTAAATTATCAGTGAAAGAAGAACTAACAGAAGGCAGTCAGGTATTTCGAGATAAAAAACCTACTAGGAATAATAAATCTCAAATAATAGAAAGCTCTAAAAATAAAGAAAATATTACAAAGTCACAAACAAGAAAAAAATCTCTCAAAGGTATGCTAAATATGTATTTATTATTATCATCATGAATTTTAAAAATTATAAATTTTTCATTTAGTAGAATTTCATTTAGAATAAAATATGTGACTGCCGTTGAGAATTGAATAGGTATAGCACGCGCCACATAACAGCGTCAATGAAGTTGGCTGCAAAACAGAATGTTGCGCAGGTACATTTTATGTATTTTTGCGTGAATTATTAGGCTACAAACAAATAATAATAAAGTTCAATTTATTTAATTCAGAGTTTTAACTAATTATATAATGTACATGTGTATCTATTTCCGAACGCTTACGTTAATATTTTATACACTAAAGTGGCGAATTACTAAAATAATATCTATAATAATCTGAATTAATTATCAGTAAATCGGAGTTTAAAGGAAAGTAAAGTAAAAGCAGGAAATCAACTTACAAACATAAACAAAACAGATAACAAACATAAACAAAACAAATAACAATATTAACAGTTTTTTTAATCAATTATGTTTACAACAGTACGTTAAAGCAGTGCAGATAAGTCATTTAATGTGTTAGAGCGAGATGCACTACTGACCTTGCAGCGGCGCAATGCATGGGCGGCCAAGTGCCCCTTATTAAGCTATTGCATAGCTTCTATCGAGGGCCTTGAGCGCGGGGACCGAATCCAGAAATTCCGTAACAAAAAAAAACCTCACGCTAAAAACAAAACAAAAAACAGTACCAAAATCAAATGCTGAACGTCAAAGGAAATTTCGTCAACATAATGCAGAAAAATCTTACATGGATATGTAATTTGATTTAATAATAATATTTTTTATTTATTTATTTAAAAACAAATTGTAATGTATGCTTCAATATTTTTATTTAATAAAAGAAAAAAATTGTTTTCTTATCGGTCACCACGCTCAAAAAGTGGAACTTGAATTAATATCAAAGAAAAAGGAATACTGCATAAATAAAATAAATAAATAATTATAATTGCATAAGTTGATAAAAAATGCTATGCAATAGCTTTACCGCGGCAGTCCCCGAGTGCCACACATCTTTTTTATTTATTTATTTTTCCGTGCAGAAATCCCCTCGGATACCACCTATCGGCATGTCGGACTCGAACCAAACCATCTACTGACCAGTAGACGACCCCCCCGTGTGGGAACCCCATGTTCCCTCTGCTCCCTGGAAGCGAGAGCGCTTCGTAACGCGCTCGCCGCCACCCCGGCCTGCTTCTGCTAGGGTGATAGATGGCCACACCTGTCACCCCCAGGGAGAGATCTAAACCTCTCCCGGTCCCGCTCCGCCGTCTCCTTCGCGAGCATAACTTGCTCGCAGAAGGAGACGGCAGAGTTCCACGCACTCTCGCTCCGCACGATAGCCGCAATCAGGCTATCGAGCGAGAGAACTCTCACTCCGATGGCCGCCACGAGGTCTCGCCTCTGTTCAACCCACGCCGGGCACTCTGCCAGCGTGTGGAGAGCCGTATCCACGGTCTGGCCATCGCAGTGGTGGCACTCAGGCGTTGGCTCCTTGCGGATCAGACACAGGTGATCTCCGAAACATCCTTTCCCAGTGATCACCTGCGTCAGTCGGTATGAGAGGGTCCCGTGACGCCTCTCTTGCCAATCCTCCATAACGGGTCTTACCGCCGCGATGACGGCGTGCCCGACGGCCAAGTGCCCCGCCGTCTCTTTCCGATGCGCAGAAATTAACCCTCTGGTACCTAAAATATCAATTTGCTGCGCTTGTCGTTCAACTTCGTTGACGCAGTTGAGAAGAATGAATTTTTAAAACAAATAAATTTAAATAGTATGTCTATTCACGTAAATTTATAAACAAATTATGTTCAGTACTAACGCACACCAATGTTAACCCTGCTCAGAGTTCTAACGCGCAATCTAATACGATTGCTCTTATTTATGTATCAGGAATAACAAAGTGAAACAAACATATAGCTTTTATTATAGTTTTATTGATTTTCAAAATATTCGCCGTGATGATCGATGCACTTTTGCATAAATTGGAACCAATTTTCGTAGCACTTTCGCCAATCTGATTGTGGTATCTCCAAAACGCTCAATTTGATCGCATCAACAGCCTCTTCACGGCTCGAAAACGTTGACCACGTAATTTACTCTTCACGGTTGGAAATAAATAGAAGTCGTTGGGGCCAAGTCAGGGCTGTACGGCGGATAACCGTTAATTCGATCTTTTGATCTGCCAAATACTGAGTTGCTTTGGGCGATGTGTGGCAGCTAGCGTTGTCATGTTGAAGAAGTATTCTGCGTTGTGGCTTATTCTTTCTTATTTTTTCAAACACTTCTGGCAAACAAATGGTCGTGTACCATTTAGAATTAACCGTTTTACGAGCCACTAGTGGCACTATAGCCACATGTCCATTTATACCAAAACAACAAGCGACCATTTGCTTTAAAGTGCTTTTTGAACGAATGCTTTTTTTTGGTTCGGCTCTTCTTGGGTCACCCAAACCGTTTATTGTTGTTTAGTTTCAGGATCTTACCCATATATCCAAGATTCATCACCTGTGTAGATATTATAGACAGCTTTTGACGCACCCTGATAATACTTTTCTAAAAAAAAACACCAATCGACACGAGCCCGTTTTTGGTCAATTCTCAAGTTGTGCGAAATTCAACGTTAACAAATTATTTTTACAGCTAAATGTTTGTGTAATATTTTACATATACTCGTCATACTTATTCCCAGAGACGCCTCTATCTCGCGATATGTAACATGACGATTTTGCATTATTAGTTCCCGCATAACATCAGTAATCTGAGGTAGAACCGATTTAGGGCGACCTTGTTTAAATTCGTTCGTGAGCACAGACCGCCTTCAATTAAACTCAATAAACCAGTGATACACAGTTGTTTTAGATGCTTCGGCCCCAAAAGTCGAAGGCAGTTGATCCATGCACTGCAATTTTCAAAATGACGCAATTTTCAAAATGACGCCACCAAGGATAAACAATTGACAGCTACATGAAACAAATTGTATTCTTCAGCCAAACAGTTCCATTTTTAAATGTTATACTTACTTTTTAAATATTGTTCTGTAACTAGCCAGTTCCCGATACAAAAACAGCAGCCCTAGTATGTGTCATATTATTACCTATTTCTATAGTAATTACATGCGATTCAAGATCTCCCGACAAGAATATCATAAACCCTTTGCAATGTGCCATGCCACATTTATTACTAACCCTGAATATTATTCATTGACTAAATATTTATCCTATTGTGCTTTAACAGTGAATAAAAATATGAAGAAACTGGAGAGGTTTTTTAACTGAAAAATAACTACTATATAAAAATAACTATAATTATATTTTTTAGGAAAAGTGAAGCAGGAGTCGGATGAAGATGCGGATTATGCGCCAATAGATGATTCTAAACACGACCACCATTCAGACAGTGACGATAGTTTCAAACCACCAAAATTTAGTCCTAAACTACCGAAGGCGAGTCATGGAAATCGGCGAGCATTATCATCTACTAAGAATGAACATGGCAAGAAAAATCAAATCGACATTTGGTGTGAAGTATTTGTTGAAGAATTACAAGAGTGGGTTTCTATTGATATAATTAATGGAAAAGTAAAATCTACTGAAGAAATTTACGTGAGTAAATAATTAAGTACGTCCATGTTAAAGTTTCATGAAGAACGTGTTTGTACTCGTAGAAGAGCGAACTTAACTTCACTATCACCCATAAACTTCCACGACTGTCCAGATACTCCTTGTTCACACCTAAGCGATCCAAAACTAACCTTGGCTTTTTCTCTTCTTTAAATAGGCTCCAGGCAGAATATAATTCAATAAGTAAAAATAAGGATATCGATGTGTTTAGATTAAGTTTACCTTCTTTTAAAAAGAAACTATTGTTGTTAAGCTTAGATATATTTTATATATAAGGACCTTTGTTTGTTTTATGTTGTAGATTTTTTAAGTAGTTATCTGTAAGAAAGTGTCTGTTCAGGTCTTTCTTTTTTCTCTTCTTTTTTAAGTTAGGGGAAGCCTTACGCTCCCAACTCTCTGTTATTACTATGCTTTCCGTGGCAACCTGTAATTAAGGCAGCACTAATGGATGTATATCACTGTCATTGTATCTCTTGCTTCTAAGGTGTATGTTCTTGTTGGTTGTCCAAATAAATAAATAAATAAATACTTCGGCACATATGGGCCGGGTCGTCCAGAGTGATATCATGGCGTCACAGAACTAACTTGCTTTCATCTAGTAAAAGGGTACTTTGCGTCCACTTCAAGAATAGGGGTAGGGGGGGGGGGGGCAACAAACATAAGCTTCTAAAAGTAAAGGCGTCCATGGGCGGAGGTGGTAACTTATCGTCACGTCACGCGACTACTCGTTTGCCCTCTATGCAAAGAAATGAAAATTATCTTATACATTCGTATATAATTCATGAGTTTATTTTATGCATATTACAACTTTGAAAAAAGTAGAAAGTACAATGACAACAATAAACATATCTAATAAGAAACCTAATAAACACTTTCAGGCTAATGCGACGCAACCAGTCAGCTACATGGTCGGATGGGACAACAAAAATAATTTAAAGGATTTGACTCGTAAATACGTGCCACACTTCAACACGGAAACTCGCAAACTTCGTGTGGATGTGTTGTGGTGGAACAAGGCGGTTCAACCATATCTTGGGCTTAAGACAAAACGGGATAAGCAGGAAGATGAATATCTGGACAAAATGCAGCTAGAAGCACCTTTGCCCATGACTATTGGCGAGTGAGTATTATTATGAGTACCAATGAACATATATATTCTAATATGTGGGTCACACTGAAAGTTTTTAAAAATGTATTTAAATTTTGAATTAGGAACTTTTCGGGAATATAGTGATTTCATACGTCATTGGTTTTTACAAATGACGTATGAAAGTGAATAAAACAAAGTGTCTGTATTTTACTTAAGAAGATTTTCGATCAATGATTTATTACGACATGCGGTCAGTTAACAACAATGTTACGAAAGACTTCGATTGGCACTTCATTACGAAACCCCATCTCGTGCCTAACAACTGGTTTACTGACTTTAAACGTGGTCCAAACAAGTAAAATTCACAATGTCAACTTTCTACTACGGCGACTACTGAAGATAACATAAGTGCTGTGTGGCTAATAATAGAAGCTGATAGAAGGATAACATATAAACTAATTCGGGCGGCTCTAGGTATTGGTAGGTATAAGTTAAGCACAAAAACTCTTACACGAACATTTAGACGTCAGAAAGCTTTGTACTAGATAGATAGATACCTCATAATTTGACGGAGGATCAAAATCGCCGTCGTTTAGATTAATGCCGCTCAATGCTTGAAATGTGTGACGGAGGTGACTCGAATGCTGTATATGACATCGTGGCAGGTAATGAAAGCTGGATATATTGTTACGAACCCGAAACCAAAAGACAATCTGCGCAGTAGTTATTTCCATTCGAAGATTTGCCGATAAATGTAAAGAAGTAAAGGAAAGAAGATGATGACTCATTCTTTGGACGGACGTGTCCTTTCGCAACAATCATTCTAGAAGATAAAAGAACTTATATCATATATAAATGTCTAATAGGTGTTAGACAGGCGCCCAAGAAGCTGGATCCTCCTCCACCACGGTAACGCTCCAGCAAATTCCGCCAGGTGGACTATTGAATATTTGTCTTTAGAATGTGTGGAGCTAATGAGTCCTCCTCTTTACAGTCCTGACACCTTGTGACTTTTATTTATTCCCAATAATAAAAAATAAACTTAGAGGCTTTAGTTTTGTGAACCCCGAAGATGCCGTGGCTGCGTTTGAAATAGGTGTGGAAGAGATCCCTTAAGAAAACTAGGCTTACTGCTACGGCGCTTAGTAAGGAATGGAATTCAAAAAGTAAAAAAAAAATCTTTCCATTTTTAGGGTTCCGTACCTCAAAAGGTAAAAAAGGAACTCTTATAAGATCACTTTCTTGTCCATCTGTCCGTGTGTCACCACCGATTTTCTCAAGAACGGGTAGACCTAGCAAGTTGAAATTTATACCAGATACTGAGGTCTATGGTCCCTATTAGGTGTATAAAAATCAAGGTTCTGAGTCAACACGATAAAAAGACATGAGCAAATTTCGATTTTCGCAAAAAAATTTAAGTACCAAAATTTATTTTAATTTTTGTCTTTTTTTGGAATTATTCGTTTATTTGTGCTGTAAGACGTTTCTTTTTGCCAAAGTTCGTGATTCTAGGTCAACGGGAACTACCATATAGGTTTTAGACCCAAAACGTATAGGGTACTCCGGTTGACCTAGAATTGACAATTTTGGTTAAAAAAAAGTAAAATCTGGGTAGGTACGGAACCCTCGGCGCACGAGTTTGACTTGTGCCTGACCGGTTTTTTATTTTCTAAAAACTTTCAGTGTGACCTCCATATCTTTGTTTTGTAATTTATTTTAAAAACGTGTTTAATTGAAATGCGTACTGGCCCAAGCCTAATATTTATATTCAAAAAAGCTTAGTGATGCCCAAATAAAACAATTTGACCGGCCTCTTGGTCTAGTGGTTTGTGACCCTGACTGCTAAGTTAGAAATCGTAGGTTTGATGCCCACCCAGGACAAATAGTTGTGTGATGAACATGATCATTTGTATAAAATGTATTTTAAATGTATTTAGAAATATATAAGTATGTTTATCAGCAAGCTGGTTACCATAGTACAGGCTCTGCCTAGTTTGGGATCAATCTGCCGTGTGTGAGATGTGTGAAATTGTTATCATTATTTGTTTGGTCTGGGTGTGCTTTATGGAATTAAAAAAATTGTGTGGCTCGTAGTTGTTATACGATAGTTTCTTGTTTTATTTTTTTTGTAAAATCAAGGATGTTTTTTTTTAGATACAAGAATCATCCTTTGTACGTTTTAAAAAGACACCTGCTCAAATTCGAAGCATTGTACCCACCTGAACCAACAGTATTGGGTTTTGTCCGCGGCGAGGCGGTGTACCCGCGGGAGTGCGTGTACACTTGTCATTGTAGAAATACATGGTATAAGAAGCATGCTAAGGTCGTTAGACTTGGAGAAAAAGCTTATAAAATAGTTAAGGCTAAACCCAGATGGGATAAGGTAAGCAGCTGTTTAAATTTAAACATTTATATTACTTTTTCACACTTCAGAAATCGTGCTCCAATGTATAGTATATAATCTTTTTATATATGATCGATAATGTATAGTCTCAGCCCCGATGTCGACTAGACTTAAAAAAGAAATACACAAAGCTAAATATAATATCTCCTCCTTTTTTAAAGTTACAATTTATTGACCCTTGACCAAAATTGTACAAATGTGTACACATATCAAACTATGTTTCTTGAGGAATTGAAAATAACTTAAATGCCAACAACGCCCCAGTCAAAAGCTTCTGATATAAATCCATTTTGTTTGTTTTGCTTTCAAACGGATAGAAAAAAATCTGTTTGAGGAATACCCGGCAATTGACTAAACCTACTACATACAAAGGTTAGTAACAACAATTCTTAAAAAGAGAAGTCATAAAGCTGGCAACTTTTGTTATTATTGAATGTTATTGGTGCTAATTCTGTTGTTCGAAAACTCTAAACTAAAGTAAAAACATTGTTTAGTCCTATCAAGTACTAAGTTTTCAGAACACGAAACGTTATTTGACAGGACTACATTTTTAGTGATTTTAAGTTTAGTTTAGAGAGTTTTCAAACAGCAGAATTAGCACCATTGTCTGTAATTCTAACATATTGGTTCTTAAGTCATGCATTGCACTACATGCTTCCATACTGTATATGGCTAAAGTATTTTACATACCTTATTCATTCTAGATCAACAGAAAAATAATAACTGACGACCCGCCTATGGATATATTTGGGCCATGGCAGGTGGAAGATTTCGAACCGCCAGTGGCTGAAAATGGCATAGTACCCAGAAACGAGTATGGAAATGTTGAACTATTCAAGATGTGCATGCTGCCCAAGGGAACTGTGCATCTTAAATGTAAGTTACTTAAACTTTTGACAGTAGACTTGTAAAGCAAGGAAAATTAGTAGTGACCGATCGAAGGTTCACTTTCGGGTTCGACCAAGAAATGCTGGTTCCAGTTTCAATTTCGGCCAAAATTGGCCGACACTTACGGCCGCACCGAATCTCAGCGTTCGTATAGTATCGTGCGTTGTTCGATTAAATTCGCGGCTAACTCATGGGCACCGGCTTTAGCTCAGTTTGGCGCTCTCCAGATCGATCTTTTTTTATGGTGTATGGGCAAGCGAGCAGACGGGTCGAATGATAGTAAGTGACTACCGCCGCCCATGGACCTGCACCTACCTAACAATGTTTTATCTCAAAGCAATTATTAGGTCTAGAGGTTCGTTTTGTTGTTTGATTTATATTTTAGAGACAAATAAAAGAGATTATGTTCGATTCATATATTAGGGCCGTTTCTCAAAACTCAATCAACGCTTGAGCGTGGTTTTATAAAAAAAAGCACCTCAGTCGTTTCGTAACTTACCTCATTACGTAATACGACCCTTAGATTTATTTATTTGTATATACCTAATTGTTGTTGAACTACATTCTGTACCCATATTTTAAAATGTTTAACAACCCAAAAAACTAATACCACATGTGATGTTCAGTTGCTTAACTTTAGTCTGTTTAATTTAGTCAGCCACCTCGCCTCGTCCTTCTCCGCCTATCGCGTTAGGTTTCTATCTAGTTAATTTGAACAGGTGAATTTATAGTACCTAGCTACATATTTTTTTGATTTTAGATCTGTCTGTCGACCTAAATAAATTTTCTGTTATTTAGAATTAATGCCGTGTGTCTTGGTTTTAGGTGGTATGTAGGTATAAACAGATAAATGGCTAAAAAGTACACTATATTTTAATGTACAATCGAAATGATGAAAAGGATAGTTTCGGTTACGGTTTCTCCCGTAACTGTAACAAGAGGCGAAAGTTCGGTTTCGGGTGAAAAACATGTTTCAGTCTGTTGGTCTATGTGTAATTATCATATTATGTGTAGTTATATTAACGGAAGGCAACGATAATAGATATTACATACCTCTTACCTACTATGCTGTAGGATGAGTAAGCAGACGTCACCTAATGGTGACTACTGAAGCCATGGACACCTCAACTAAGAGTCACTCAAGTCCCCAAGGCTGAGTGTAGCCCTTACCCCCCCCCCCCCCCCTCCCTCCCCCAGGAGTCAGACGAAAGGAATTATCTAACTCTGGTTTTCTAAGGTCGTTGTATCACTCCAGTCGAGCCAGCTCATATGTGCCAAGGCACGGTTCTTCCCGGCAGTTTGACTGGGCAGAGTCAGCCTCTTCCAAAAGAATACGAATATTTGATTTTAATAATAATAATAATAACTTCACACACAACCATCATTCATTCAAAACTTGGCCTGTCCTATGGGAACCAGACTGCTAATAAACATACTTACAAATTTCTAATTACATACATATTATAGCAAAATTACACCCAATAATAATCGAATAATCATATCATTCATTTTTCAGTACCTGGTTTAAATAAGGTTGCGAAGAAACTAAACATAGATTGTGCTTTAGCAATAACCGGATTTGAAGTGAACAGTGGTTGGGTCCGGCCAGTGTACGATGGGTTTGTCGTGTGCAAGGAATTCGAAGACATCATAACAGAGGCTTGGGCTGACGTTAGTATAATCTCTTTAACTTTTTTATTAGTTTTTTGAGTTCATTAAAGTTTTTTCTGCTAAAATTGAAACTGCTTAGAACAGTACGCAATACCGCTGGTAAACAGAACGCTATGGTACATAGTGTTACAATAAAAAGTCCTTTGTCCTTGTAACTAAGATCTTTTATTAGATCGTAGAGGGATATTTAATATAAATTAGCCATGAAAGAGTTCAGTTAAATTATACTACCAGTAGGTATGTATCTATTCAATGGCGTCCTTGAAGTTAGTTATTTAAATATATATTTTTTAGGATCAAGACGAACAAGAGCGTAAAGAGCTTGAAAGAACGGAAATAAGAGTATATGGCAATTGGAAGCGATTGATCAAAGGCTTGTTAATTCGCGAACGTCTTAAAAATAAATACGGATTTCACGAATCGCCCACGTCAGCAACCAGCAAAGGTAAACCGAAGGGATCCAATCAGGTAGCTAAGAAAAGAAAATACAAATGAAGAACACTTGTTATTTTTAAGTTTATATTTACATATTATTCGTTATTCTCTCAAAAAAACTCTTTCTTAAATTGTTAAGTTTAAAGTAGAAATAGTGTTAATTTTGCGCGTAAAACAGTAGGTATAAGATTTTTGTAATATGTAAGGTAAACCTTAGATACGAAATAGTTTTATTAGCGACTAGGTGCTGCCAAAAGAAGTTACATGTAACATACTGGAATATGTTTATATTGCAAAGCTCAATATTCTAAGAGCAAAGAAAAATAAGTGAAGAAGAATTGATTTTTCATCTGACACTGACAGTGTTTCTATCACATACCGTTCAGACTGGGATTTCTTGAATTTCCAGCATCATATTAGCGATAATAACATCTTGCAGAGGAATAGGGTGACTATTATGTTCTTTCTGTATGCTTCGGTCACGGCTAGATTTCATTTAAATTGTAAACCAACTCTCCGCCTATATCCTCGACAGTCCCTCCTACCCCTACCTTCATCACCATCTCGAACAATTTCTACGGCAAATAAATGGTTTTTGCATATCTGCTTGCAACTTACACTTATGACACACAAGTGTCCACCAGATACTTTACTTTTTTTTTAATGAGTGTATTTTTTAATTGTTGACAAATAAACAAATAACCCACATTGTAATTTCCTTTGTCATGACCCTGGTCCAAAAATTATTGTTTTCAATTATCAGTTTTCAAAAATCACTCTAAGGAGATTTACAATCTTGTCGCATCAAATGCGAGCTTGCGCTGGTTTAAATCACGATTAAAAAGAGGGAATCCTCTTCTTAGTATAATATAGTTTGGCATAATGCAAAGGTTAGCATGACTATCATTTATTTTGATCTAATTTGGAGTTACATAAATTTTTGAAGTACAGTAATTCCCCCTATAACACGGTACTCTTATAACGCATTTTTATATTATGCGATTACAATCCCACTTATAGCACGAGTATTCCCACATATAACGCGGGGGTTTCCTACTTTATATTTCTGTACTGTAAATTTTATAATGATTTGTAGAGTTCATAATTAGTTCATAATTCGATTTAAACCGCCTTTGACGAGAAAAATAAAACGTGAATTATTTGTACAATCGCGATATACAAGAATACTCCTACAACGCGTTTTCCTCTGTGAATGCTGTATTAGCTCGTAAGTGGCATGTATATCAGAACCTTATTACTTAGATTTTACCATGAATGTTACATATATGTGCTGTGAGTTAAGCTAATAAATAAATAAATAAACACGAAACAAATCTACCGTGTTATAGAGGGGATTACTGTATAATAGGTACATAGTATAACATAGCATCACGCCATCCGAGACTTCAAAAATCGTTAGGATAGTAGCTGCCAGCTGCTGGCGAGTGCATGAACCGAACTATTTGCGTTATTGAACCTATTGTAGTGGTTATGTCTATAAATATATTTATCCATTATTTTATGACATTATGCTTCATAAGATTGTACTTCATTGTTAATATGCCAAAAGGCAATAAACATGACAAAACATTCATAATTATATTCGTAATGATTATTATGTTGAATTACGTCATTTGAATTTCGCCAATGTTAATTATTATGACTATATATTTAATGCTTATCATTATTAAACCTTAAAAAGGTGTGCCATAGGTAGACAAGGTAGTTTAGTAAAGCATAGTATGTGTTATTCGGTGCTTAATTTACACATTTCTCCTATTTTCACTTAGTAAAGTGACGTTTTGGATGGTAAACTCTCAATAAAGTTCCAAGTTTAAAAGAAAGTGTGGCTTCAAAATCTTTAATAGATTTTCTGCGTGACGGTACTGGTATAAACGTTCGACATTTCAAACATGTTTTCAACTTTGTTCTCTGTGTTTCGAAATACGTTTACCCTAAAATTTTCTCGCCAGTTTAAATCTGTTATTAGTTAAGTACCAAGTACAACTAAATTTATGTGTTACGAAACATGTATTTAAAAAAATATTTTCTTTTTTACGTATATTAGGGCTCAGTAGATTTCTTTGCTGTAATATGTAGAAAATTGTTATGTTGCTGTGAGTTATTTTTGCTACTGTACTGTTTATATATTTAGTTATGATAACTATATTGAAATACTACTGTAATACTACATAACTACAATGAAAATATAATGGATTTTTAATAGATTGTGCTGTGAAATGTTACCATTTTTTACAATTATGAATATAAGTCTAATACGCAACAAATAACTGCGCCAGCGAAGTTCGCGCGAGTTGCACCGCAAAACACAATTTTAGGTATCACAGGGGTCAGTACTGCTCATCTTAAGGCAAGGGGGGGGGGGGGGGGCACGTGGCCGCTCACGCGTTGCACCGCTGCAAGGTCAGTCGTGTATCTCGCTCTCACGCATTAAGTAATTTCACTGCTTTGCTCTAACGTGCTGTTAAGAACATATTTGTTATAGTTTCTGTTAATATTGTTATTTCTGTTTTGTTTGCGTTTGATATTCTTGTTGTCGAAACTCCGTATTAAAAATGAAGGCCAGAAAATTTGTTTTTAATGTGCTATATAACTATTTAAAGTATTCTGTTTTCTGTGTAGTGATTCTTCACTACAAGGAGTAAAAAAATAATAACCTCTGTTAAACAAACTGCGGAAGATACGGGTGTAACTGTCCGCACTGTATAACTTTGAGAAGAAAAGAAAATAGAATTCGCTCTAATATTCCGTACGTCTGTTATGAAACATAAATGTAATTATTTCCTACCTACCTTTTTGATCTGCTGCTATTATTGATATGATAAATTATTTAAGTTATGGCAAATAAGTAAAATAAATTAATTTAACCTTAATAGGCTAAAAACATAATTCTAAAAGTGTGTATTTATTGATAATATGCTCATATAACTAGTCCGGCGTTGTTACCAAAAACGTCATATGTAATTTACTTGTTTGCCACTTTGCCAGAATTTAAAACATTTACGTTAAGCTTCCGAAAATTGATGTACATTACACATTTCTAAATTTAATAATTACATTTTATTACTACCCACTGGCTTGTAGCTTAATAATGCACGCAAACAGTATATAAAATGTATTTGTATGCTCAGTACGTTTGTTTACAAGTGATTCGTTTTGCAGCCTACTTCGTTAGCGCAGAGTTATTTGGAAGCATTAGCATTAATGTGATATCATTCATTTCCGCCTTTAGTCTAACGAAACTATGCTGTTTTTTTGTATCCCTAACCATTTTCTTGTTACTTGTGAATACCCACTTCACTGTTAATTGCTACTACTGTTTGTTTAATTTGTATTAAAAAATGAACATTTTAAATCTTTAATTTTGAGTTAATGTGATAAAATAAAATATTTTTAGAAAATATTCTTTCATTTTATATTTCATAGACTTAAAACCACCATATAAAACCGTTATCGTTTATGTTCACTATATTATTCTTCTTCTTCATGTTTACTTCTCCCAAATATCTATCACAATTTTGTGATAGATATATTTTATTTTTTTGGGCATTTGCAGCCAGATCATCGGTTTAACTTACAGGGGGTAACTTAAACCCATGATGTAAACGTACCTTTTATGTTATGCAAGCGTGTATTGCTTCAATCTTTAGAAGTAACGACAATAATTTAAGACACGTCATTTACTCCCAGATGAAAATTTGTAGGCTGATTATTTATGTACTGATGTAATAAATAAAAAAAAACAGCTAGCAGTAATTCGATTAGCACAGTAAGCATTTAAATAAGCGATAGATGCTCCCGCCAAACTCTAACGTTATAACTTTCCAAGTATCAGCTGAAGGTCTTTCCGCGAAGATACAGCCAGCTGGCATGTATATTTTTTATCCATAGTTGCAAATAATCTATCAGGTAAGTTGTTAGTTGAGAGGAAATGACTGAAAGTAATTTTTTTTAAGTATGAGCGACCAGCTGTAGCATGTTCCACCACGCTAGTCAGATTGTTTTTTTTTCTTCAAGATATTGGACTAGCTACAAAAACAGCTTTTAGTAGGGAAGAAATGACTGAACATTATTTTTTTCGTCGTGTTCCCGAGGGTCTGCTCATCTCCCCAAGGGAACCGCAGCTGACATGCACGGGGCTTTATGATAACTCCCTGATGCATCTCACTAATTATTATCGTTCGAAAGGAAATGATGGACCTTATTTTTTTTCGCCTCCGGAATATGGTAGTATAACCATCTTCCGGTTCGATTCCATTTTTGCCGTACTTCAGGTCTGGATTAAGGAGGTCAAAGGGTTCACGGTTAAATCACCCTAGAACCACACACGGTTGGTCAAGGATCCAAGGTTATTAAACTACTTCATTGGTAAGATACGCCAATTAAAAATGGATCTATGACAAAGCCAGATGAAGGAGATTTAAGGACTCACCCCTCATTTTGTGAAACTTCATTTTTTTCTGCTAGAGAACTAAAACTAGTTATTTACATGTAGGAAACGAGCGTAGAGGACGTCGGCGGCGACACCAGCCGTCGATAGGGCGGCAGGCTGCCCGAGAGTGGGGACCTCTGGTGGCAGATTAACTGCTGCGGTGATAGATACACTGTTTGGCCCCGTAAGCGAGGGGAAGCCCTAACTGCATAACAATAACATGGTCCGGGTCCTCCTCGGATTAGGGCGCTTAAGTCCGGTCGTCGGGGTGGTTTTTAGTGGAAATACCACATACTCCTGGCTCCTGAGTCCGAAAGAAGCCAGAGATCCGAAGGGTTTTTCCAACCCGTCAACAAAAAAGGACACGTCAGTAATGAAAAAAAAATCGATTGATTAAGATTTGTCTTTACAACTGTGTTTATTTTCTTTTAGATTTCTGAAGATATTTGCGAAATTGTTACCAACCTGATTTATTGCACGTGAGTGTAGTCATTAATTAGTTTATTTAAATACAAAACACATATAAATATTGCTAAATACGTATCAGTTATTTTAGATGTTGTTTATCAAACTGTTTTCCACCTTATAGAAAAGAAAAGTATTTATTTACAAGTACATGTCACATTGTTAGTAGGTAGTAGCGTAACCGTTCTGAGCGTCGTCGTTCGCGGCGTCAAGTGTGGACTTACAGGGATCACTTTCCGAACGTAGTTTTCCACAGTGTGCTCGTGGCTTTTGACGAATATGGACGAGTTTCAGAGAAGTAAAAAAAGCCCATATCATTGAATTATTTGGATAAATTTCAATTAATTGCAAAAATACATCTTCTTTTCATGTTTCCATGACCATCGAGCGAACGTCTGTCACTCAATACACGTGCACGAGCGCACTGCAAGCTCGATGAAAACGAAAACTGACAATTAGCGGAGCGGAGTCGAGCATGAACCAAGTGCTCGAAACGCGTTCATTGCGTTGTTGGCTTGTAAGTCGGTCCACACCACATGAATTTGTGCTCGACTCATCTAGCGTAGACCAACCTCCAGAAAATTACCCCCATATAGTCCACTATAATATACGGTTTTAGAATTGAATCACTGTTTTTTTTAATACGACATTTAATTAAATAATATATAACACTTGAGGTTACATTGTGCAAATTGGGTGCGTGTGCGTATGTGGAACTATGCACCAGTATAATCATTGACCTAAGAATACATACTTTCTCATTGAGTATAAAATATTGCTGTGTATAGTATGTATGTAATTATCTGTGAATGTTGTCATCTTCTGTGGTTTGTGCCGCAAACTTTACCAGTAAAGTCACAGAGTATAATGAGTCAAGTCAGTTGACATTGTTGACAAGTCGGAAATAGGTATAATCGGCATCATATAAATTTTTGAACGTCTCTTTACCTTTTTTTTTAAATATTTGCAATTATCTCAGACAGTGAAGGGTGTCAGAAACAGAATAAACAACTGTAAACTGTTAAATACAATCTTACATAATGCCTACTACCAGAAAAAAGACGATCAAAACTGTATATAAAGATGAGAATAGCGATGAGGAAAAAGGCGGCGATTTCAGCGACTCAGGTTCAGACGCGAAAATATCTGAACCATCGAGCTCTGAAGAAGATCAAATTGAATCCGAACATTCATCTGCAGATGAGTTTGATGAAAAACCAAAAAACTTGAAACGGAATCGTAAACAGCCTGTAAAAAAACCCAAACTTACAAAGAAATTAATTGAAAAAATTAATAAACAAACCACAGGAGGCGATGAAAGTTTAAATGAAAATCATTTTCCTGCAATATTCTCTATCAAAGACCTCACTGAAGCAGATAAATTATTACCTTCAATTCTAAATTTATCTGAAAGTGGTATGTTAGTAACTAATAATACACAATAGATATTGCACAATGTTTTTATGTATGTCTTTATAGAAGTATCTCATTATTTAATGTGTTCTGTGAGCTTAATACAAATATACTTGACATGTTACTGAGACAATTTTGGATGTGAGTTCCCCGTTAACTATCAAGTCATCTTGCATTAAATTCTTTGATTGCAGATAGCAGTGATGATGAATCTCCAAGAATCAGCAAGAATAATACAATATCACTTCAGCACACCGAACAACAAGCAGACAGTGATAATGAAGTTGTTACAGAATATAAAGATGTGAGTAATTTAGGAAATAAAGCCTTTAGTTATCTTTTAGGACACCCTTAATCCTTTTTCCTTAATGACCTGAGGATTTTTTTTTATTAAGAATAATATAATATGCTTTTTTTATGACATGAGTACAAAACCAAAAAGTCATCCCTTCAAATTTTATCCTGCTTACTTCAATTTTTTTTTTTAATACATTGAAAGATCCTTAAAATTGTCTCAAATTTAAAGCTAAGTAATGATTTTTATTTTTATACATAGGTGTTCTCAAATAACATACAAATACAGGATGACAGTGAAGAAATTGCCAAGAAGACCTTCATGGAACTTGAACAACATAAATCTAAAGTTGAGAAAACTAAAGCTACATTACAGAACTACACATTAAAACTAAAAGAACGGGAATCAGATGTAAAAGATTTGCTAGCTTTAGGTGAAGAGGCATTACCATCACCCAAAATGGGTGCTATTAGTAAGAAACCTAAGTTCAGAAAACATAAGGATAACAGTGACTCAGAAATGGAAGACTGGGAAGAAGTTAAAGGTAATTTTTTTTAACATTAAATTGTGTTTTAGATTTATAAATGAATGCTAATTGAACATTTTTATACTTTATTCCTTCGCTCAGATGTTGCATTTTTTCATTTTGTTATCCTATGCCACTAAAGCATTAGAGACTAACTGCCTCAGTGGTGCAGTTGTAGCATATGCAACTGCCGTGCTGAGGTCTTAGGTTCCATTCCCGGATTGGACAAAATATTTGTATAATCTATATTTGCAGATCATACAAATATTTTGTCCAATCTGGGAATTCTTGTTTTGTTTCAAAGTTTGGGTGTTTTCTATGTATAATATGTATGTATTTACAAAAGAAAAGTATGTATATATGTATTCTATCAGTTAATCTAGCATTGTGTGTTAGATGTCCAAAAATATATTATTACTATTATTTTATTTGAAGAAATTAGAAAATTTAATTATTATTTACAATTATAATTTTTGCAGACACAAAAACAATTCCTCAGCAAGGCATACAACTGTTTGTGGAATTTCCTGATGCTGGCTATAAGAAGAAAAAAAAAATTGATGTTGAAATGATGATGAAACGGAAAATTAATAGGGTCAAGAAAGAATACCAAGTGTATATGCATAAAGTACATGTCCTGTGTTGGTTGGGTCATGGAAATTATATTAGCCGAATATTGAATGATCAAGAAGTTATGGCAGCTGCACTGTCTTTAGTACCCTCGAAAGAGTGTTATCCAGGCGAAAGAGTAGACATGAAATATTTAGAACAAATCACAACATGGTACAAGGATAAATTAACATTAAAACAAGATAAAAATGAAGATAAATTCAAACCAAAAGCTCCCGCACTGAAAATTATATTATTAGATCAAATCAAAAAGAGAGTTGTGACAGCAAAAAAATACTTGGCATATATTTTTGTGTGCATGTTACGAGCGCTGGGCCTACAATGTCGTGTTATTTTTAATTTTGTAACATTACCGTTAAAACCTCCTACTTCGGAATTGTGCTCACTTTCGACAAAATCCAATGATCAAAAGACAAATCAAGAAACAAAATTAAAAACACCAAAATTAGTAAACTCCAAAACGAAATCCTCAACCAACAGTCCTAAGGCAGAGCCAAAAGCAAGTACTAGTAAAGACAATCCAAAAAATCTAAAAGTACCTCAATTAGATGGCAACATTGATGAATGTTTTGAGAACGAAAATGTACATGTTCATTGGAGTGACAGGTATCATACCACCGAAGTTATCATGCAAGTCGATGGTAATGATGATGTTAGCACTTCCAAGAAAACCAAACCTGTCAAAAGGCCTAAAACAGATGTTCTAGATGTATCACCTCCTAAAATACAAAAAAAGAGTGGGCATAGTTCTCCTAAACCGAATGCTAGTCCTAGTAAAATCAAAGATATAGATGTTAATAATGAGGATCAATTTAGTAAAAAGGATACAAAAAAGAAATGTGACCCAATTAATAGTTGTCAACGTTTCAGTAATGCTAAAACACCCGATAAGGATCCAACTAACAATCCAACCTGTAACAATATCAATAAAGCACCAAATGCCAGTCGAACGTCAAACAGAACCACTAAAAGTAGAGCCCAAAATAACACAAAAGCTGTAACTTCAGCCAAGAATGATAAATTAAAAATACCAAACATCACAGTATCTGATGAAAATAGGAAAGAAGTAGCCAGCGAATATTTCGAAAATCCAAAAGCTGATGATAAAGTCAAACGGCTGTCGAGGAAACGAGCACTAACTACAAATCCTACTTCTTCAAAAAGTAATAGTAAAGTTGAAGAAAAAGAAACTGTTACGAAAGCAAAAGGCAGGACGAAAAGTGCTCCAGGCTCTGCTTTTGAAAAGAGTAAATATTTTGAAAGTAGCAAATCTAGACAAAACACACCAAAAAGGCCAGCACGAAAAGCTAAAGAAGAAAAGTCTGAAGACCAGGAGAGAGTTAGTCACAGAGATCTAGCAAAAAGCAATAATAAAGGCAAAACGGATGTAACAGGAGATTTGGTGGATATTATTAAAACCAGAATCAAAGAGTCTAAGCTAATAACAAAAAAAGGAATAGGTAAAGGTAACTTGCACTTATTATATATAATAGAGTAGTGATCATACTTCTTCACATATAAATAATTCCATGGGTCTATTACATTTTGAAGTGATTACTTAGGGATATTATGGGAAGGTAAACCGCTTCGTTACGTAACGCGTTACGGCGCCAGTCTGTCTGGCTTCCCTTTCTCATGCATACGGCAGCGGTAGGGCTCCTCTCTCATTCTAACCCACAGCACTAGCGCTATTTCGGACAGACGCTTTTCCCTCTCTACTCAGTGTTTAGTGTGCGATAGACATATACTGTTGACAGTGAGCATATAACCTACAGCTATTACCGTTTTTGAAAGTGATAATAAAAAAAATGATGAAACAAGCAGATGATCCTCGGAAAATTACAGAATCTCCTAACGCAAGGTAACTTTAATAGTATAACATAATATGATTTATCAATAACAAGCAAGCAACAAGTTTACCGCCGCAGCGTCTATATTTTGAATTACCATATATCTTTACCGTCTCTGCTTCGATGTGTGTATATATATATATATATATATATATATATATATATATGCACAAAAACATGATATATGTACGAGCGCTATTTATAGCATATAGACGCCACGACCGTACACTTGTTGCGTGTCAACGCTATAGATAGACGCTGCATCCATAGAGCCGTTGCGTGTTTTTATTGTAACTAAGAATAAAATATATTTTAAAATCTATAAAAGATTTTATTAAGAAACAACCTTCTCACGTCAACTTGCTTATATGTTTTAAGGGAAAATCAGTCATGATTCGGGAGAAGATAGTGACTATTTGCCAGTAGAAGATATTAAACGCCGTAAATCAGGCAGTGATGATGATTTTAAACCTACAAAAATCAGCCCAAAGCCGAGTACAAGTCGTCGTATAGACCGAAGAGTGTTATCAACATCAACTGATGAAGGAGCTGTTAAGAAAAATAAAGTTGATATATGGTGCGAAATATTTGTTGAAGAATTGGAACAATGGATTTCTGTTGATGTTGTTAAGGGAAAAATACATTCTACTAAAGATTTTTATGTGAGTACAATACAATGCTCTAAAACTTAACCTTCTTCGCCTCAGCTTTTAATTATTTCTTTAGTTCAGTGGATTTGTCACTTACCAGTGATTTTTAATTATCGAGATGGAAGGTAGACTGACTGGACTGTTCTGAGTCTGGGTGTTCTTTGTGTTCGTTTCATGTATGTTTGTAAAGTACCCCGCGACACAGGATGTATTCCTAATGCGGGAGTTGTCTTTAAAAAAAAAAAAAAAACTTATTTCTTTTTGGAAGAATAGGGTAGATGATTGTCGAGTTAAATCAGTATTTTTTTTGTAACGTCAAAACGCTAAATACTAGCTATTATCAAATCACTATTTAATGTTAATATCAAGATATCAAGTCAATAAAAAGATTAAATTGATAATGGAGGACAATTCAGACTCTACGTTAAGATGTTACATTTAATGATGCAGGCAAAATAATTTTATGGACTGCCATATTCGATCCCAACGAAACTTTTAAACACTATACCATTATATTAAATTTGTAAATAAAAATATATTTTTGCATAACTATACAATTTTCTATGCATCTGCAAAGAGAAGGAAAACTTACAACAAACCCTTTTTCTTTTTTTTTTTTTAACGTGTGGAAATCCCCTCGGACCGTCACCCCACCGGGGTTTGCGGCGGGGTGGTGTGTCGGACTCGGACCGACTAAAACCACACGGTGTGCCACTCTGCGCCTGTAATAGGAGGGATCCAGGAACAGCTGTTAATAAGACATCCGGACCCCTCCTGGCGCCGGCCCGCTCCTGTTGCGGGCTCCGTCTCAAAAAATTATTTCCTCTCTTTAGGCGACGTCTGGCACACGCGGACGCCGCCCCCTCGCGTCTGGCCAAACTAATGCGGGTGGAGGGGAAACCCACCCCGTCCACCCGCGGCCACACTCAGGGCGGCATGAGGCGGTGATAGGCGCGCCTCCGCCGCCCGGTTCGCCGGCGGCGGATCGGGTCCGAGTGGAGATCGTCCTCCCGGGCCTTCTCCGCCGCCTCCTTCTGCGAGATTACTTCCTCGCAGAAGGTTGCGACCGCGGTAAAACAACTGTCGCTACCGGCCATGGAGCGTACTACGGCCGGTAGCGAGAGATCCACTCCGATGACTGCAGTGAGGGCCCGGCGCTGCGTCGCCCATGCGGGGCAGACCGCCAGCGTGTGCTGGGCCGAGTCCTCACTGCAGTCGCAGTGGTGGCAGGCGGGACTCAGTTCCCTCCTAGCGACCGAGTGCAGGTACTTTCCGAAGCAACCGTGCCCGGAAAGCACCTGCGTCAGTCGGAAGGTAAGGGTCCCGTGCTGCCGCCCTGCCCACTCGGCGATGACCGGCTGGAGAGCCTCCACGGCGGCAAAGCCAGCGGCGAGCGGCTTCGCGCCACTCGCGCACGTCTTCGGGCGGAGGGCGTAATCCGCTCTCCGCCCGGGAGTCAGCCACTCGCCGATAAACTTCGGCGAGCACTTCCGCCTCCAAATCCCACGGGGGAGTTCCGGCCAACGCGCACGCCACCTCCGTCGAAACGGTGCGGTAACCGCGTATGGCTCTGACCGCCATTACCCTCTGAGGGCGCCAGAGGCGTGCCCTATTCTGGGCGGTCAGAGCCGCCGCCCACACCGGTGCACCGTATAGTGCCATTGACTGGACAACCCCCGTGTACAGCCGTCTTCTTGGGCAAAAGTCGCCCTAGGGCAGACGCAGCGCCGATCAGCTTTGGAGCAAGCTGTCGGAAGTGCTCGTCGAAGAGCCACCTCCCGTCGAGGATCAGGCCCAGATATTTCATCTGGGCCCGAACCGGTACGAGGACCGAGTTGACCACGATTGAGGCGCCAGAGGGTGGACCACGACGGGGCCCATGAAATAACAGGGCCTCCGTCTTATCTAGGGCCACCCGTAAGCCCAGCGCCTCAATGCGCCCGAACACCAGGGAGACTCCCCTTGTGGCCAGGCGCGCCGCCTCTTGGAAGTTTGCCCCCCGGGCTGTCACCAGAGTGTCATCAGCATAACAAATTACACCTAGCCCGGGGGGGAAATCGGCTCGAAGGGCCCAGTCGTACCCTATGTTCCACAAGAGGGGTCCAAGAACAGACCCCTGTGGAACACCGCACGACATGGGCCGACACCTCGAATTACCCTCTCGGTCCTCGTACACGACGGTACGCTCCTCTAAAACTTACAACAAACCCTATACCAAGCCATCTGGCCAATAGGCCAGAACTTCCTTTCTAAGAACTTTTATCCAGAACAAAATACGATTTTTAACTGATTGAAAAATTACTCGCACGCGAGCAAACCCCAGACAAGGAAACGCTTGTACTTCGAATTTTAGAGTATACAAAAGAAAAGTAATTAAAAAATATATATATTTTAGTTAGCTCTTTTATCTTTAGGCAAATGCAACGCATCCCGTGTGCTATGTCGTCGGTTGGGACAACAATAATTATCTAAAGGATTTGACTCGTAAATACGTGCCACACTTCAACACGGAAACTCGCAAACTTCGCGTAGACCCACCATGGTGGGATACAGCCGTGAGCCCGTATCTTGGACCTAAGACAGCTCGAGACAGGGAGGAAGACGAGTATTTGAGCAGAATGCAGTTGGAAGCGCCTTTGCCTAAGAGTATTGCTGAGTTGGTATTGTTTATACAAAATTAAAATTACAAACTGCTTATGGGTTGTTGAGAATCAGTAATACTATAACGCCAATATTGTAGCTCTCTAGTCTTAAGGTGCTAATGCGTGTGTGATCGAGGAACGTGGGGCAATATCTATAATATTACACTAAAGTTTAGTTTTAAGGGCTTCAAAATACCCATCTTCAAAATACTCAAGTCAAGAAGAATAGTATACACTACTTTTAAAATTAACAGATTGTAAAGACGCAATCTGGGTAGGCCGCTCACCTTAAAATATTACAATATATACAATAACCTTCTTATTTGTTTCATAGATACAAAAATCATCCCCTATACGCGTTAAAAAGACATCTATTAAAGTTCGAAGCAATATACCCGCCTGATGCGGCATCTTTGGGTTTTGTCCGAGGCGAGCCCGTATATGCACGAGAGTGTGTGTACACATGTCGATCTAGGGACACGTGGCTCAAGGAAGCTAAGGTCGTCAAACTTGGAGAAAATGCTTACAAAGTTGTAAAAGCTCGACCTAAGTGGGATAAGGTAAGAAGCCTGTTAACTTAAAGAATATTAGCTTGTACCCAATGTATATAATCTTAGGACTCATTAATAGCTTACCCTATACCTAATGAAATTGTAATTTGATATGTTTGGGATAGAGGTATTCAAATCTCCACAAGTTATTTTGAATATTTATAAGCACAATAGTATATTACATTACTTCACATTTTTTAGATTGTTTTATATTTCAGCTTTCTAATAAGCTCATTACTGACAAACCTTTAGAAGTGTTTGGACCGTGGCAAGTACAAGATTATGAACCACCAGTTGCCGAAAACGGTGTAGTACCGAGAAACGCATATGGCAATGTTGAACTATTTAAAGAATGCATGTTGCCAAAAGGAACTGTTCACATCAAGTGTAAGTATACTTATTTATTGTATATTAGCTATCCGCCCGGCTTCGCACGGGTGCAATGTAGATAGATACTGGTAATGTGGTATCAGTATAGAGAAATTAATTAAACTATTGTTATGATAGGACTATACTACAGGACATCTTTATATGTAATATTTATGGGCCCGCTCCGATCCAGCCGGCCGCTCTTACCCGGAAAGGACGTACGGCTTGACGGTCGTTAGGCCCCCGCATTTTAAACCTCTAATATTTTCTAAAATATTCATTTTAATTATATGCTGTAAAGCGCAATTTTAATCAACATTGGATAAGGAATAATAGTGTATTGTTTAAAAAAGCTTCGTAAATATCCCATTTTTTTTGTAAAATTTAAAAGATAAAAATGTTACTGTGGTTTATCCTTAGAAGATAGACAATACCACCGCGGACTTTTTTGTTGACCTTTTTAAGATATACAATTTCGTAGAACATTACTTTGGTCTATCTCGTAAAGTTTAGCCTGTTAAAAACATGTTTTTTACGACAAATCTTTGAAATTATCGGATTTTCTCTACTATAATATGCAGGTATTATACATATAAACCTTCCTCTTGGATCACTCTCTCTCTCTCTCTCTATTGGTATAAACCGCATTAAAATGCGTTGCTTAGTTTAAAAGATCTGAGTGTACAACACAAAAAAGCAACTGAATTTTATATTATGTAAAGATACAAGCAAAATACAATATGTAGGGGTGTCCCCTGTAATATTATACCTCCACAAAATAAAGCCTATTTAAATTATTACTGTGATGCTTTTTGTGTTAGTGTTTTTATTATAGGTGTATTTGCTTTTAGTGATATTTTGTGACCATGACCAAGACATACGAGTACATTGATATACGGTAAAATTCGAACGAGTTTATCTTGCATCTCTATGTATATAATTTGTATCTATATCAGCTAAATAAATAAATAAGAAAAAAAATTGTGATAAAATAAATATGATCAATGCTAATAATAGGTCTTTACCTATGAAATTGCCGTTTTGTATGCAATAAGTGAAAGTACTTATTTTTTCAAACTTTTTTATTTCTGTTATTCGAAGTAATCACCCATGCAATCGACGCATCTTTGCCAACGCATTGGCAGTTTATTGATGCCCTTCTTGTAAAAATCAGCTGGACGGGAGGCAACAAACTCTTCAAAGGCATTTTGTACTGCCTCTCGGGAATTAAATTTTTTACCCACTAAAAAGTTGTCTAAATTTTGGAAAAAGTAATAGTCGGTAGGTGCAAGGTGCAAAACATCTCACTTACTGCATCTACTTGTCTAGAGCTTGGAGAGGCTGGTCATCTGTCATAAAGGTTTTACCTAGTACGGATACCAGTCTCTCACACAGATAATAATTTTCTTGTAATGTAAAATTAATCTTGTAGTAACTTTGTCACTAATTTATTGATGTAACATTTTCTATGTGAAACAAGAAATTAAAATATTATTTTTATTACTTAATTAGTTATTAAAAAAGGTTGTGAGCTGAATGGCTTCTTGTCACATAACACTGTGGTTATGTTGTTTTATGATTTTTATATACAAGAGATAGAAAGATACTTCAGGTTCAACATCACATAAAAAAGTGTGTGTGTGTTAGCTCCGACGCACGACTGGAGTTTAATCCTTAAGAACAATTCGGCTGCACACAAGTATAAAAAGTATACATACCCCTGTGAAAGGTGTGCACGATAGGTATCGCGCAAAAAACGTAACGAGGTCATTCGATCACTAAAATTTACTCTTCATATTTTTTTTCATACTGAGCGTCTTATTTAGTTACATATTTAAAGCGTTTTTTTCTGGTCTACACAAATTTCTAATACTCTCTAACGAATCAGGCTATTGACCAAATATTTTTAGTTTTATAAATCACACCACAACTATTTCAAATTTTATTTTCAGTACCTGGTTTGAATAGGGTAGCAAAGAAATTAAACATTGATTGTGCTCCGGCAATGACTGGTTTCGATTTTAATGGTGGCTGGTCCCATCCAGTTTATGACGGGTTCGTTGTTTGTGAGGAGTTTGAAACAATCGTCACCGAGGCATGGGTTAAGGTAAGATCACAAATTTATGAAGTATTGTAGAGGTAGGGTATGGTAAAGGTATAGACTCGATTTGCTCGATTCATAAATCTAGTTTAGAGTCAATAACATTCAAGTAAAATAGATGCTCTTGCAAACTGCCTTCTTGCTTACTTAGTAAAAATAAAGACAACATATTTCCAATTTTTTTCTGTCTCTCAAATAAAAATTTAAACACTGATTACTGACTTGTTTGGTATTGTATGTTAAAATTAGAGTGATATCAATTTATCTAATAATTACTATTCTATTCTTTTATATGACATGTTATTCGACACTATTAAGTAAATAACATAGAATAACTAAAATATTCCACACACAATTTTCAAGAACTAATTTAGGCCAACATTCACCAATAAATAGAGTCCTTAACCAATATAATAGTATCCAAACTCGTGATCCAGACATTGACATTGGTTTAATTAATTTAAAACTAAAATAACAAATGTTTTGTGTCCATCAACCTTAACCCCAAACAAATGTGAATAAGATATAAAATAGATTTAGAGTAGTATAATTAAACAGTTTATTATTATTATTAAGTATACTCTTCTTGAGTTTTTTTTTCTCGTTTGATTGTAATTAGTTTACTACTTTTTACACTACTACATTACAGTAAATGCTATGTACACCTTAATTGTCATACATATCAGGTATAATGCCACATATTGTCAAAACTAGTTATAAGTATAATATGTATGATGTGGTAGTACTTATTAGTAAATAAATAAATAAATGCAATTTTATAATAAATTTACCAAAGTTGTAATTTTAAACAAAAACTAAATTGTTTTTATGTTTCAGGATCAAGAAGAGTTAGAGCGCAAAGAGCGCGAAAAGGTAGAACTAAGAGTGTATGGAAACTGGAAACGGTTGATTAAAGGGTTGTTGATTCGTGAACGACTTAAAAATAAATACGGCTTTGAGAAACCTACTACATCAGTTAAAGGTAAATCAAAAGGGCCCAAATTAGTCGTTAAGAAAAAGTCTTGAAGTATTATGTTTGAATTTAACGGAACGATTAAAGTAAAGCGATGGTACCCTAAATTAAATCACAATAATAATAATATTCTACCACATTCACACAACGCCATCTAGTCCCAAACTAATCAGAGCTTGTACTATGAACTAGACAACTGATATAAATACATACACACTTTGTTTTTGTAAGTGCATACAATATTATACATAGAAACACCCAGACCAAATCAAACATTAAATGGTCATGCACACAAATGTTTGACTTGAGCGGGGATCGAACCCGCGACCTTCGCGTAGCAGCCATCCGGCCGTCAATACATGATAAATTTAACAGTTAAATATGATGCGTCTAAAATTTCAAGTACCGTACGAGAAGCACTTTTATTTGGCTACCATAAATGCTGAATGTTGTAAGTCCAAATTAAGCTTAGAAGTTTTTATGCTGTTTTGGGTAGAGACCACGTCATTAATAATGTTCGTATTATGTAAAAAATATTTTTCTTGGAAGGTGGTAGATTTTACTTACGATCAAATCACGCAATGGTTGTAATGTAGGTCACTGAAGGAAAGAAAAATGTAAGAAATGGTTGTTTCGCTTTCATTATGATTTGCCTAATATTCACTTAATAGTAGAGAGAAAAAATGCAAAAATAATCACTGTTGAAATCTGCTCAAAAAACTTCGAGTGTCCCGTTCTTGTATACTTATTTTACAACAACTACTTGAAGGTACATTGTTGTTCATTAAATAAGAGATCTATTGTGATTATATTGTTAAGTACTCAATACTGTTAGATTAAGACACTGTGAAAACATTTTTTACAAAATAGTTATAGATATTTAAGAACCTCAGCTACCTCATGTCCTTTGGGTGGAACACAGAATGGTGAATGCATGTTTTTGTATAATTGAGATTATGGTCCAGTTTCTATCGTTTGTATTATGGTCTTCAATTTTATTGTTAATCTGATTTTTATATGTATCATATTTTTATATTTTGGAAATATAAGGAATGATTGTTTTTATTTTTACAATAATTGCAAAAGATTAAATTTATTTATTAAAAATTATTGTTTTTTATTATTATTTTTTTATTACAGCAGTGGACTATTAAAGGCTGTTGATGTGATGTGATTGTTTTTTATTTTACCCCAATACCTTGAACACACCAGTGGACTGTTATAGGCTGTTGATGATGATCTTGAAAATAAAAATGAAACAAATACATGTCGAATATTTATTTAATAAAAAATGTACCTTATACAAATTTTGTTCGTTATAATCATACTTGTGCAATAAGCTTTTTTAAATCTTACATTAACCTCTGATTATGTGCTTGTTAGATATATATTATAGCAAAAGCTCAAAAGCGTAATATACGTAGGTAGTTAGAATTTATAGTGTAGTATGTATGTAGTAAATTACAAAATTATGTACAAAATCTTTGGTGTATAAAAATATGTATAGACACTTCAGACCTTATAAATTAAGATCTGGTCGGTCGAAACGATTGCAATTATTTGCAATCTTATCCGCGTTTACAGGATAGTTTTTGCATATACCTCAATATCATATGATAAATATAAGATATATGTAATCACAATGCCATTTTTTTTTCTTTTTTTTCTCTTGTAGTTTAACAAATTATATTATTTATAACTCTTACCTCCATACCTACATTAAATCTATTTATTTACCTTAATGTCCTACAATATTTCATAACGAACATGTAAACTAAGGGCCCAGACACATTCATCACAATTTGTACATTATTATATGAAAGGAATGTAACCTTTAATTTAAACTTTCGTAACAAAATATTTCTGCTTAATGGCTGTATTACTATTTATTAGTCTCTTAAAATAATTAAGTATCAACCATTATTAAAGCCAGTTTAATAAATGGTATGATATGTAAGCTAGGTAGCAATATGCAATAGATTAAATTCCTTTCACGCTACCATTATATGTATCTAAATGGTTCCTATGAAGACCAGCTTCAAACATTATGCCATGGTCAATGTGCCTGCACCCATACCGAATCCTACGCCTTTAGGACCATAGTTCCTTCCATAACAACTTCGGCAATATATTTCTCCATTAGGTCCATCATTTAAGTTAGTAGAATCCTGAAACAAAACAATACTTGAATAATATAAAAATTGAACACTACTAATTGTAACTTAAAAGGTCTGTAATCAGAGATGTAAACCCTAAAAAAGTCATGATTGTCAAAGTCGCGTTCCGTCGCTCTAAATCGGCTAACTATGCATAATGCACATTATCATAGCACTCTTTTAATATTATAATAAGAACGAGAAGAAATATGACGTTTAACATTTTAATGGAATAAAGTAACGAAGGCATAATGAAATAAAATTCATCATCATCTTCAAAACCCAAGCATTTCATCATATGATAAAATTATTGGGTTCTGTCGCAGCGATTTCGCATGTGATATTCTTTTTATCAAAGATTACTACCTTTTTAGCTTTAGACCTCTCGCGAGTCTTGTGCTAGCGTAATAATATAATACTCGTATTTAAGTAGCTGTGGTTTTGTAATACAGTCGCAGATGTGATAAAAATATTTTAAAATCATATGATTTATCACATGTGATTGTGATTTTATTACATCCCTACTTGTAAGTACTTAGACACTGGAATGACGTGTATTGGCACAAAGTTAGGTTAATCTAATTCACAACTTTAAAAAGTTGTTGGTTTCGATAAGAACGACAATTTAATACAGTGTTTATTGAAAAAACAAGAAATATGAAGGCGACAATTAATTCTGCAACATTTTTGGCACTTGCAGCGTTTATTTTGGTTCAAAACAGTCAAGCGGAGTTTTCAACTGAAGACTGTGCATCTCTTGGATTTATCAAGGCTAACCTATTATGTTCATCTTGTGATCAATTGAAAGATTTTGCGTTAGATCAACTAATAGCCCATTGTAAAGAATGTTGTCATCAGGACGAAACAGCTCCGAAGGAGAAAAAGTATGCTCGAGCCGTTTTAGAGGTTTGTACTTGTAAATTCCCAGCATATCCACAAATTCAAGCATTTGTGAAGAGCGACAGGCCAGCAAAATTTCCTAATCTACAGATCAAATACGTTCGAGGCTTAGACCCTATTATTAAACTGATGGACAAGGATGGAGTTGTGAAAGATACTGTTGCTATTGAGAAGTGGAATACAGACTCTGTAGAAGAATTTTTAAACGCGCATCTTGACAAGGAACAAGATGATGAACCTGACTATTTAAAAACTAATCAAATATAAGTGTAAATAAATAACTTATAAGAACTCAATTCTTATTTAACATTTGTCATTATCAAATAGCAATACTTACAAGAGATTTGTGGCAGTCTGCACATGAGAAGCATCGCTTGTGCCATGTGCCATTCTTGGAGTGCATTTGTTCAGCAGCATATACTGGGAATCCACAGCGTGGGCAACCCTGGCCTTTGGCTGCTTTTTGACCAGTGAAAGGAAGCTGTTCATTGCTATAAAAAATAGATTAGAGTGGGTTATTTTCATTTAAACAATTTGTTGATAAAATGTGTAAATAATTAAAATTTGGTGTATAAATAGAGTTTTCTTAGTGTTGATCGGAATGGAGATAACATTGAAACTTAGTGGCGGTAGTCCTAGTGTAATATGTAGAATAATACTTTTAGTGAACTGAGTTCTGTCATTAGGTCAATAGTCCTGAGCCACTGATGATTAAATAATATTGCATTGTCAATATGAAATTACTGCCTGTGTAATAGGGATCCTAGTAATGTTTCCTTTTTGAGTTCTGATCTTGCTCTCTATTTGTACAATAAAACAAATAATGTTAAACTATCTTTTCATTAAAATTAAAAGAAATCCAAATATACTTACTAAGTTATGGAAGGTTCAGCATCAGTGGATACAAGGGTGGGGGCGTGGCCATAACCGAATCCTTTGGGTCCAAAGAGCTTAGCATAACAAGAGCGGCAATGAACTTCCTTGTCAGGACCGTCGCATGCCAGCATTGAGTCCAATGGGCGGTGGCATTCGGCGCAGTTGAAGCATTGCTTGTGCCACATCTGGAGAGAAATTGGTTTCAATGTGTAAAAATGTTGGTTTACAAGCCATTTTTGAAACCATAGCATAGAGCTGGAGAGCATTTTGACGCAAGTAGTTAGGCCCATTCGTTTCATTAAGTGGTCCCATTCTATAGAATAATGCAAAGTTACCAGTGTATATAAGCAATTACAACATATGTTGGCTTTACCCTACCTCCCAGGGGGATTAATGACCCACTTCAACAGCAAAAAAGAATCAGCTGGCAATTGTGACTGTCTTGTATAGATTGGAAGTTTATTACTTCACTAGTGCAGTTCCAAATAATCTTACAATGTGATTTACCCCTACACGGTATTTGGACATTCCCGTTGAATCTACGAGAGTAGCTAAGTACAGTAACGAAGCAATGCTTTGCTTACGGATTACAAAAAACAGAAATGAAGCTATTACAGATGTTATTACTTTTAAATTGAGGAATAGCATGTGGCAAACCCATTATGGAAAGTAATTCTTGAACACAAAACAAATAATAGTATGTTAGTGTGTACGATAAGAGTAGATACTTACGGTGCCCTTGGCAAGTTGTTGCTCAGCAGCAAAGACCATACCGCCACAACGAGGGCAACCTTGACCCTTTGGCGCCTTGATGGAAGTAGTATCGGAGTTATAATAGGGACGGCTGGCAGAGATCTCATCCTCACTGTTAACGAAAGTTATGTTATTAGCCTAACTATACAAAAATCTTAGATAAAAAAAACTTTGATAGGTTTAAAAATTTAAAATGCTTACGTTAAACCATCAGTCTGAAGGAAGCCAGAGCCGCAAGCAAATCCGTAACCGTGAGGTCCCCATTTCTTGCCGTAACAGGTCTTACAGTAGACGTCAGAGTCTGGCCCGTCGCAAGCGATAATGGAGTCCAAGGTTTTAGTGCAGTCACGGCACTTGAAACATTTGCGATGCCATTCACGGCTCTTAGCAAGGACTTGCTCAGCGGCGAATACAACGCCACCACAACGAGGGCAACCTTTGCCTGGTGGGGCCTGGATAGAGGCTGTATCAATTACCGTTGTCTTAGGTGCCTGTTCACTGTAAGATAGGTGGAAATCTTTTAGAACATCTGTTTTTTGGTATGAGGTTGGAGAGTTAAACGATAATAAAACAGTAGGTATATTAGCACAGGACGCTATTGCATGTGTTATGACTTTGTTATACACAGGTGGTTATGAAGATATACATGATGATCACTCTCCAAAATATCCTAATACATGATTTAAGTTATTTTACGTTTCATATTTCTATTCACTTATATTACGAGTATGCTCATTATGATCATATAATATACCCACATACTTAGGTATGTTCTACGTTTCTTTAAAAATATAAATCGTTTTTCTAAGGTAGTATTGGTGAAGAGTTTAATTAACTACACGTGTAGATAGGTATGGTAGTAGATAATAAAGATGGTTTCCTTTTATGGTTTTAATTATCTATAACATTGTACGTCATTACGAGTAGGTATATCATCAAAAAGAGAGATTTACCTAAGCCATTTTTAAATTTTAGTTATTTTTTATCTTTCGTCACATTTGACGCAGTTCTACTTGCCAAAATACCTGGTGAATAATAAATATTCAGCAAGTACTAGTGACATTAACTTTTCATTGGTTCATTGTCATCTATTTAACGTACTAGCAACTATACTGGTTTATAGCTAAGTAGGTTATTCATTTCATTATACAGTAATAAATGGTCTTCATTTCAAGAGACCCATTAATAAAGATAATGGGTAAATCCACAACCATCTCAATACATGTTGAATACTCAAACCGCGTTGCTCGTCTCGCCTGTATTAAAATTAGTCCGATCGAGAGCGGAGAACGTGTTCTATTTTGATGTTGGCATCTTGCCATCTCTCGTTTGTATTATAAGCTGTTTTTATGAAAGTGACTATGCGATGGAAATAACCTAACCTGTCATGTAACCTGAGAAGTACACGTAATATTACAGCTAAAGGCGAAAATAACTTGCAGCAAGTTAAACAGTGTTAAGTTATGAATGTAACGATGAGGAACTTAAATATCGGGATACAAAACTATTTGCTAAAGCACTCTATAAGCAAATTTTTTCGACGTTAAATGAGTCGGTTAATCATGAAAAGGATGAAGTGAAGTCCTTTAGACTGGATATTTCTGGATTTTGGAAACACACTAGTCATGTACCTTTGCCATTCCAAATCCTTTATATCACACATAAGACCCAGGCTTGACATGCCCCCATGGCCTACACCTCTTGGACCAAATCTTTGTGCGTAGCATCCTACAGCAAAAGCAAAGCGTTATTTGTCGCATCTGAGGACACAGCATGGCACTCAAAACGTATATAATAATATATATATCAAGTATATAAAGATACACTGCGTCAAAAGCTGTGCCCTCGCCAGGTGAGTCACATGACCTTAAGCGGTTCTTACCCATTGGCGTAAGGGTCACTCTGCAAGACACCAGCTCCTTTTCCGTAACCATATCCCTTAGGACCAAACTTCTTCGCATAACATACTACAGAGAAAAACACTTAATTAAAACCACAAGAAGAAATGGAAATGATCATGCAATTAATAATTTGTAATCACTCTTAAATTATGAAATAACAATGTAGGTTGAAATTGTTTAAAAGTATAATTAAAATTAATATTTATTAGAAAATATTGAATAATGAGAGGATAAATAACAAACCTTTGCAGTAAATGTCTTTGTCAGGGCCCTCGCAACAGTTTGTGGAGTCCAGTCGTTTAAAGCAGTGACCGCATTTGAAGCACTCCCTGTGCCACGCCTGGACATACAGTGAATAGTGAGGAGACGTCGAGGCATGCAAGAAAATTACTATCTAGAGGGTCACTCATGTTAACACAATGTCACATGATGTTATTGCACGTATACTGGTGGTAGAATAGCATTCACAAAGGAAATAATCGTTTAGATACCTCTACAATAAATTTCAGAATCTGGTCCATCACAATGCATCATCGAGTCAAGGGTCCTGTTGCAATTTAAGCATTTGAAGCATCGCCTGTGATAGCCCTAATGTATAATAATTATGTTATTGTTTTTATTTTGTTTAACTGGAAATTATAATTTTAATAATGATTTTGATACAGAAACTGAATGTTTTTGCATTTTATTTTCGAATTCAAACACCGTAATGTACCTATCTGTATGTTTAAGTATAAACAAAGACAGATACCTACATGTGGTGTTTTGATGAGAGTTGTTATTCGTGTGAATTCATAACATTTTATACCTTCTAAATATAGTAGATATAAAATATTAAGAAATTCTAAATTTGACTTGACTAATAAGCTTAGGTATATTAGGCAGCAATAGCCGTGTTAAAGATAGCGAAGAAACGGATCTGCTGAAAACACAAATAATGATTGCAAGTATCACTAAGATTAATTATAGCAAAGTTCTTACCTTTCCTCTAGCTAACATCTGCTCGGCAGCATACACACATCCGCCGCATCGTGGGCATCCTTCACCGGGGGGCGCCTTGGCAATAGAACGAGACTCCAGACAAGCTCCATTCGTTCTTACACCCCTGTATAGATGCCGCAAATCAATGAAAATTCGATAATTTTTATATCAAGCAACGTAGACAGAAGAAAAGTTAAAAGCCTCTTAGGCATCGGCAAATCCGTCTGCCCCTACTCTAGTATAGGCCACACGGGTAGCGGCTAAGCAGTTGCCGGCGGCGCACCTCCGCCGTAATGGGAGAAGGTAAGGGCTCCCGGCCGCCCGCTCCGCACCGGCCTTGCTTTAGCACTACACATTTCAACATAGAGGGCGCTTTCCTTATCCCATCACATGTACTTACAATGTATCAGTTAAAGCGAAGACGAAAGCGTTAGCGATATGTTAGATATAGTGTAAGTAGCGAGGAAAGTTAATTACAACAGATGTCTTCGGTGCATGCCATCTAGGTGCGTCTTGAGCAGCGTTGCTAAGCCAAGACTTTACATACTCTGGTTTCTCACCGTATCTTCTTCAGTTCGGGTCACCCCGTTGGGGAGGAAGGGATCGGTCAGGGCGGGAGCGCGCTCCTGCCGACGTGCGCTCGGCTGCGGCATGGCGAGCGTACGTCGGCTTCGACCGCGCTCCGCGTCAAACAATACTAACTCAGGGTTGGTAGTCGACTGTTTATTTACTTTTTTTAATGAATAATAAATAATACCGATGAACAAAATTATATTAAGCGATAGCGAATAAATAACCCTAACTAAAGTAATTTAAAGTACAGTATGGCGTGCGTTCGCGAGGCATCGCTGGTTGGCCGAGATGTGTGTCGGCGACCCGCAAGTTGTGCTGGACGGCTGCTCGCTCAATTCCTGTTGCGACATAAATGGAGACTGGTCATGCACGTATAAGGCGGCGCAAAATGTACAGCCAGCGCGCGCTTTCTACGGTATACGTATGAGTTTTTATATACACGCTGTTAATTTTGTTACGCACGGGCCCATAGGCCGGTCGTCGTTGCGACCTTAGATAAGGAAAGGCCCTCAGAGGCGCGGGCGGCGGGAGTGCGAAGAGGGCTTGTACTTACGCATTCTCTGCCTTCAAGTGCTCGCCAGCGTCCATGGACAGGCAGCCAGCACCACCGCCGAAACCGTAGCCTTTTGGTCCGAATTTACGTGCATGGCACATTTTACAGAACAGTTCACCTTCGTGTTCTGAGCAGTTGGTGGAGTCCAGCAACTTCTGGCACAGACCTACACGACATACAAAATTAAATTAAATGCCATTCATAAATAGGTATCATATTTAGGCATATTATAGTCATGATTTTCGGGTGCTATTTTGATCAAATCTCACATATATTTTTTTATAAGTATGTTATTTATTCTAGATCTGATCTTTCCTAATAAAATTTATTGCAGGTTAGAAAGATACTTCGAGTAACATTGAAAGAAGTGACAGCTGGGTTAACATAATAGGTTAACATTCATCAAGTCTTATGTAAAGTAGGTGTTTACCTACTTATAAAACTCAAACATTGTTTACGTAAAGCACAAGATAACGGTGTTAAAGATAATCAGGTACCTACTACTAGTCCGTGTTTTTTTAAAGGATGTTTAAGTAGTCAGTAGCTTTTATTAAAAAAAAGTAAAAGAAAAATTTGGTGTTTGAGCTTTTGAGTGTTAGTCCGGCGTAGTTTGCGTCCCGTCGCGGACCGCGTAATATTAAGCGAAAATAGTCATCTTTGGGTTTCAAAGCGCTGCATTGTTGCTTCATATGAAGACTCTTAATAACACACTCAGAACAGCGGTTTTATATAGTTTAACTAAATTAATAAGACCACTTTGAACTTAGTCTTATTCCCACGATAATTTAACTTAATGAATATCTTATGTTATTGATCACTTATCCCTTTACAAACAGTTTATTTACTGTATTTACTGATAAAACGTACATATGGTACTTTAGTTTTTACGTACGAGTTTATTTTAAGTCCGCTTTATAAGGAAAACTACAACAAAAACTTATTATGGTCCTTAACACAATTAATATTAGAGCATTATTATTTATAAGTATTAAAAAAAACCAGAGTAATTTATTAAACGATGAGCCTTTGAAGAGTCTACTTTCGATATAATAATCAGTTACTTTTTTAATATCTTATCTTGTTATTCGAATATTAGACGCTAATTTACATATTTTTATAAATCAAAGCACTCACCATAATACAATCAAAATACTCACCGCACTTGAAGCACATTTTGTGCCATTTGAGTCCACCGGCGACTCTCTCTTCCGCTGCGTATACTGATTTGCCGCATTTTGGGCACTTTGGGTTATCTACTGGTTTGAAAGGCATTGTGCTCGCTTAACTTATCCTGTAACAAAAATACCAATAGTATTTGAATTTATACGCCAGATTATTTATTTACCTTAACTTTTATCAGGGCCGCGAGGATGTGCAGGCGACTTGCATTTTGGCATATCCGCGTATTTTTTATTGCAATCCCGAAGCACTTCGGTAAAACACGTTGAATCCCTTCCCGGTCCATTAAAATTCACTTTCACTATTTAATTTGTAGCAACACATTTTGCTAACACAGAACATTTTTTTGGATGCGTTGTTAAATTTTATTCTAAATGCAACGGTCGTTGGCCGAAATCCAAGTCGCCTGCACTGCATCAATCGTATCTGAACTGACACTTTATTGCCCAATAATCACGAATGTTGGACGATATATTCAGTGCGCGTGCTTCCTGCGAATGCAGTAACCAGTTAAAGAATGTAGCAAAATATGAAAGGTAGGGCGGGCGGCGCGTGGGCGATGAGCCTGCGCTCCTAATTTGGGGCGTTCAGGTAAAGTTACGTGCTGGAGTGAACCATTGCATCTCTAATAATAGTTCACAGAATGATGCTGTAATATCACTCGCGTTTATGTCGTTGTTTGAGGGAAGAATAAATATCACTTTCACTGGAGTATAGACCTGTTCGTCGAAGTCGGTGCGGGATGAAGCTCCCGGACGCGTTTACAGTTCAGGGCTGAGATGCCGAGACTGCGGTGCGCTATGTTCGAATGATGCGCGAGGGCAGCGTGCGACTGTAGTCTATGTGTGAGTTGCACACGGCCCCAGTGGAGGGGCGTCGCGCATCCGCCCTCGCCAGCACCACGCTACACCCTCGACTACGTCACCCACTACCCTGATTCGTGTCTCTGATACTTCCTTATTTCGGTTCTTCTACCTTAGAATTTTATTTCTTAATATTAGCGGCAGCCTATTCGATGAAGTAATATAACATTTTCAAAGATTTACTGATAAATAATATTTATTAGTACTTTTTAACCCCCAACGCAAAAAAAGAGATGTAATCATCAAAAAGTTAAAAAGTTTCTATCTACATGTCTATCTGTGTTTCTGTTCATCTGTTTAATTGTTTGTGGTATAATAACTTCTAAACGGACAGTTATCTTGATTAAGATTTGTTTTATTTCTATGTCTTAAGTATTAACTAAAAACATAGAAAAAACTTAAACTAAAACTAAGATAAGTAAAACTTAAACTTTACTTTTTTAAACTTATCTGTTCAACCATTCGAAGATCCTCAACTTTATTCTAAGCTAAGTTGGAGGGAGTTTTGGTTTTAAATGTTCATAGAGATTACATTTTTAATTCATAATTGTTAATGTAGTACAATACTTATTTACTTATGAATTACTTTAAAAGTTCTAGTAAAGAAATAACGTAGAAAGGCATATCGCCAATGAGATGCTTGCCTTCTTGATAGTTAATCCGCTTTTGATGTCTGGGTGTAATTTATCTATTATATGTATGTATTTAGAAATATGTACTTATGTATGTATGTTTATCATCAGTCTGGTTAACAAAGAACAGTCTCTGCCTAGTTTGGGGGTAGACGGCCGTGTGTGAGATGTGTGGAGTTAATACTATTTTAAAAATAATTGTTATTAATCTTTCTTACTGTACTATTTAAAAAAACAGGTAAAAAAAAACACATGGAATAACTTAATTCGGAAAGTATTTTATCACTGTTATATGTAAAATTTATGAACCATTTTCCTAAAAATAGTTATTGACTGCTCGCCTAGTGTTCGGCAATAAAAATTGCACATCAAACTTAGTGGAATAGAACAGCATCTCATGTCTCAAAACTTCGATTAATCTTTCACGTGAGACGTTAAGGAATATGAATAGTTTTGTTTTGGGATAAAAGGGTCCTTATGGTTGAATAAGATGTTGAAAAGGAAAATGAGTATATGATGCTAATTGCATCATATACTCATTTCATCATCACATTGCATCAGTCAGACCTTTCTAGTCCACAGAATAGGCTTTTCCCAACGTACGCCATAGCACTGAGCCTTGAACTTTGTCAAAGTTTTGTACTAAAATCAAATTTACAATAGCTTATCATTATGTACCCGGAATATAGGAATTTGATAGGCAATTGTTAGGAATTACAAATTACGCAAGCAAATTACAAATAAAGCAAATTAAAAACAATCATCATCATCAACAACAGCCTTAAACAGTCCACTGCTGGACATAGGCCTCTCCTTAGAAAGGAGGTTAGAGGAAAACAAATAGATTGTTTTTTTAATGTTTGATGATTTATTCTTACGATGGTAATCCAATTAATTATTGAAACTTTTTAATGACTACAATAATATTATTGTGTTTTTTATGACATTTATCGACAATTCGATTGCTCTCAGTTAAATGCGCTCTGCAATGAGTTGGTAACAGTATTGAATACCATGCACACAGTATGGAATACTATATTATATGCGATCTGTTTAGTACAGCAAATTAGTCTCAAAGAAGCCTTTGAGGCAAAATTTTTTATACCTTCTAAGAGACCGCGAAACTGGACTTTGTTCGATATCCCCAATGCTGGCTGTGGCAGTTTGGGAAGTTCTATCAAAGCAAGGTGACACTGTGTCTTGTCACTCTTATTGTAATTGTTCAAACTCTTTACCACCTCGTGGGGACTATTGTATGGTGCTTAATAGTTCTCTGACTCTAAAGCCCATATTTAAAGTTTATAAATAACCATACACTCATGTCTATATCCCTGAAGGTGTAGGCAGTGGTTTTAGAGGCGCACATTTTGCCAACTACAATTTACATCTACTTGTTACCATATGAGTACTAAAACTGCTAAGTAGAGGTGTGGTACTTAGTTGTTGTTGTTAACAAAGGTCTATTCTTCTTAAAATTATTTTTACTTTTTAGGTTTCCATACCAACCGAACCACAAGTACTACCAACCTAATACTTTTTATACAATTGTATATAGTAAGTATGTATATATGTAGGAGCTTCCGGTCAATTTTATGTGGACCATTCTACGAGTACGTGCAATTGCAATTTTTCTATCGATTAGTTTGTCAATAGTCTAGGTTTACTTTAAAGAGTAAACATTTAGATGTTTTATTTCTTACATGGTTTCTATTTCCAGATATCTTAACATTCGGCTGTCTGTAATATAAATAAGGACTTGAAAACTGTATTGCAAGCAAATATAAGAGGTAAAACAGGTGTAAGAGATCGTTTCGTCGTAACTGTAGTTAAAATAGCCTGTGTGGTAATAATTACACGGAAATACTTTGCTGTTAAACGAAGAATGTACTTCATACCAAAATGCAAAGCATTGAACATAAATACAGTGAGTGAATCAGAATTTTGGCAGACAACTTATGTCCATAAGCAAATTGGTAATGACGAAGAGCCATACAAACGGACAAAGTGTTATTACTAAAGTGTAAACAGATGAAACATCTGATCGTGGTGAGCCAGCGACTATAAGGGTACTCACTCACTGTTACAGAAATAACAACAAAATATACGTACATATTATTATATTTACAATTAGTACAGCGTGTCACATTGTGTCATAACAGTGCTCTTGCCAACTTGCACTCGCACCTGCCGATCTATAAATATTTTTTATAAAAAAAAACTTCACTCAATATTAAAGTTGTTCACAATTTTTTAATAATTACCTGTGTATTTTATTTTCACATCATACATGTATTGTTGGCATGTGTTATGAATAATGCTAGGACTATTATTTCCTTGGCGGCTTTGTATTTACGTTAACATTAGCACTTCAAATTCTCTTCAGTACAGCCGAAAATTAGCAGTTCTTAGTACTTCAGTCGACCAAGGGAGTCTACTAAACTAGACACAGGTCTGAGGTAGCCTACACTCGTGGTCGAGACCAGTAGGCTACATGGTAAATGACGGTACGGCACGATAAACCGGTAAATACTATTTCTGGTTAAGCTATCAAATTAAAGCAAAAAAAAAACTAAAACTTTCCTTCCTTTCTAAGTTTCCGGGGGCAGTTGTCAACTCCAACAAGGAGTATATTAATTAGTACCTACAGTTTTTTTTAAATTAAATGTAGGTGGAAAACGAGCAGAGAGGTTGTCTCTTGGTGTGGTAACCTACAATGGTGAGTAACCTACAGTTGTCCACTGATACCTGCAACTCAAAAGTCAAAAGAGGGCGGTTAAGGCCTTTGAGGCTGCCCCTTGAGTTAGGGGGTAAAATAAAGGCCTAAGAGGCGGCGCGCCTGGCCACAAGGGGAGTCTCCCTGGTGGTCGGGCGCATTGAGGCGCTGGGCTTACGGGTGGCCCTAGATAAGACGGAGGCCCTGTTATTTCATGGGCCCCGTCGTGGTCCACCCCCTGGCGCCTCAATCGAGGTCAACTCGGTCCTCGTACCGGTTCGGGCCCAGATGAAATATCTGGGCCTGATCCTCGACGCTGCGTCTGCCCTAGGGCGACTTTTGCCCAATTTGGGTGGACCCAGCGTCGCGACAAGACGGCTGTACACGGGGGTTGTCCGGTCAATGGCACTATACGGTGCACCGGTGTGGGCGGCGGCTCTGACCGCCCAGAATAGGGCACGCCTCTGGCGCCCTCAGAGGGTAATGGCGGTCAGAGCCATACGCGGTTACCGCACCGTTTCGACGGAGGTGGCGTGCGCGTTGGCCGGAACTCCCCCGTGGGATTTGGAGGCGGAAGTGCTCGCCGAAGTTTATCGGCGAGTGGCTGACTCCCGGGCGGAGAGCGGATTTCGCCCTCCGCCCGAAGACGTGCGCGAGTGGCGCGAAGCCGCTCGCCGAGCCACGATGGCTCGTTGGTCGTTGGCTCTCTAGCCGGTCATCGCCGAGTGGGCAGGGCGGCAGCACGGGACCCTTACCTTCCGGCTGACGCAGGTGCTTTCCGCTCACGGTTGCTTCGGAAAGTACCTGCACTCGGTCGCTAGGAGGGAACTGAGTCCCGCCTGCCACCACTGCGACTGCAGTGAGGACTCGGCCCAACACACGCTGGCGGTCTGCCCCGCATGGGCGACGCAGCGCCGGGCCCTCACTGCAGTCATCTTAGTGGATCTCTCGCTACCGGCCGTAGTACGCTCCATGGCCGGTAGCGACAGTTGTTTTACCGCGGTCGCAACCTTCTGCGAGGAAGTAATCTCGCAGAAGGAGGCGGCGGAGAAGGCCCGGGAGGACGACCTCCACTCGGACCCGATCCGCCGCCGGCGAACCGGGCGGCGGAGGCGCGCCTATCACCGCCTCATGCCGCCCTGAGTGTGGCCGCGGGTGGACGGGGTGGGTTTCCCCTCCACCCGCATTAGTTTGGCCAGCCGCGAGGGGGCGGCGTCCGCGTGTGCCGGACGTCGCCTAAAAGAGAGGAAAATTTTGAGACGGGGCCCGCAACAGGAGCGGGCCGGCGCTAGGAGGAGTCCGGATGTCTTAATAACAGCTGTTCCCGGATTCCTCCTATTACAGGCGCAGAGTGGCACACCGTGTGGTTTTAGTCGGTCCGAGTCCGCACACCACCCCGCCGCAAACCCCGGTGCGGTGACGGTCCGAGGGGATATCCACACGTTAACAAAAAAAAAAAAAAAAAGGGGGTAAAATAAAAAACTTACTGGGAAAAACTTAAGCATTATTATCAACACATGGTTTCGGCCAAAAATAAAACATTCCATCGAATAGTGTTGTTGTAGACAGCTAAAGTGGATGTATAAACTAAAACGATCACGTGCACATCTGACAAGTGTGTGTACCTTAAAACATTCTCAACATATGACTTGTGGACATTTGACTATTTAGATTTAAACTGCACCGTTATTCTATACTAAGTATTATTATTTCTAATTAGAATTAAATTAATTATTGTTTTAATATATTATATTTCTGTACGTCATCACACATCCTTGTGGTGACTGATTAAAAAGACGTAGCGTCACCACCCCTAATCATCCCGTAGGTGTCCCGTAAGAGCCGACTAAGAGAACAAAACAACGCAGGACAATAGCACTGCACAGAGAAGGAAAACTTGATACAAACCCTATACCAACCCGTCTGGCCAGCGTAGTATAGTAGGCGATAAAACCTCATTTCTCACGGGAGGCCGATGTGCAGTAGTGGACTATTATGGGCTGTTGATGTGATGTGATTATATTTTAGACAGGCCTGACGATCTACACTGGGAAGGGATGTTTCGGAGATCACCTGTGTCTGATCCGCAAGGAGCCAACGCCTGAGTGCCACCACTGGACACAGCTCTCCACACGCTGGCAGAGTGCCCGGCGTGGGTTGAGCAGAGGCGAGACCTCGTGGCGGCCATCGGAGTGGGAGTTCTCTCGCTCGATAGCCTGATTGCGGCTATCGTGCGGAGCGAGAGTGCGTGGAACTCTGCCGTCTCCTTCTGCGAGCAAGTTATGCTCGCGAAGGAGACGGCGGAGCGGGACCGGGAGAGGTTTAGGACTCTCCCGGCCCGCCAGGCCCGGGCACGGGCCAGGCAGCGCAGGCGACTCAGGCGCCGGAGGTCGCAGAACGACCTCCGTCCTCCATAAGCGCAGGCCTGGGGGTGACAGGTGAGGCCATCTGTCACCCTAGCAGAAGCAGGCCGGGGTGGCGGCGAGCGCGTTGCGAAGCGCGCTCGCTTCCAGGGAGCACAGGGAACATGGGGTTCCCACACGGGGCGGAGGTCGTCTACTCGTCTGTAGATGACCCGAGGTATGTCGGGGCACCAGGGCCTTCCTCTCTAGGGTATACCTGGTTCCCCGGCTATTAGTACCCGGCGAAGGCGTGCGGTTTTAGTCGGTTCGAGTCCGACATGCCACCGACAGGTGGTATCCGAGGGGATTTCCGCACGGAAAAAAAAAAAAAAAAAAAAAGAAAGGCCTGACGATCTAGTGGTTGGCTGTTAAACAAGAAGTATTGAGTCAAATTATTATCTATAACTTGTATGTATTTAGAAGTATTGTAAGTACCTAAGTTTATCAGCAGCCTGGACAGATAGATGCGGCAGGTGTCTCAAATAATATTTTTTTACATTGTATTTATTTTATTATCTATTCATATGTATGAGTTTTTAAATATTCGATTCATAATAAGATAACTTAAAAGGATTATATTTATGAAATTATCACAATTTCACAACTTATCGTACCTTATTTTTATTTTGTCTGAAATCGTTAAATTATATTGTTCCTTCCTAAGTTCTTAATCTTATTTAATGTAAATGTTGTTTTCAAACTCCTTGGCAAAGCTTACAAGGTTTTAAACTTTGTAAAAAACACACACCTTTGTTAATTTTGTGCATGCGATAGAGATGTAGCTGTTCTATGGCCTTATTCGTTGAGGGTTTGTAGGTCAAAACCTACCAAGCGACCATATGTTCGAAATTACGTTCACTATCTTATGTGTAATACTGTTCAAAGTATTCTTAAAAATGTTAACTTTTCCTTATAGTAAAGAATAAGCGTCAAAACTATAGAGTTAGTGGATGACTATTACCCTTGAAGTATAGACAATTTAGGAATTAAGTTTATCAGCGCCTCAATAAATTACTGACCTCTTTTAAACGATGATTACGGTTACGTGAACAGCTAAGTAAAGTCGACTGACGTCTCGAACCGTCTTCTAACCTCGAAAATATATCCGCAACAAGACAATCCTTGTTTACCATTGTCGAGACATTTCTTGAAGACATGACAAATGTACTGCAGATCTTTCGTGATTTTGAAGACATTAATTCATCCATTATCTTAGAGAGTCAATAAACCGATTAGCCAGAAACCCGCTCA